CTGTACTTTTGTGCCTACCGTTTTGTGCGTTATGGCGAAGGCAAAATGCACATAATGATGCGACTATAAAACATTCTCCTGTTACTGCGTTCCTTAGAGGGTCCAGGAAAACGTGAATGTGGCTGACAATTTTTCAGTGAATATTTTATCGTTCCATCTTGTGTTTTTTTTCCTGAGAAAATGAAGCTTGAAAACTCTTATCTACAATTTTAATGTGGCCAGCTGATATGTTATTTTATATGTGTGAGAGTTTACAGATTATTAAGAGTCTGTAATCTGGTATATATGTCAAATTCAGTCAATGTAAAATCATGAATGGTTGTCTAGTCACGCCTAGGGAGGTGCTGCCTAACACAGCGAGTCTGCAAAGCTCCAAAAAAAAGTACGCCTTGATTAAAATTTATAGACGTGCTACCATAAAGCCTCAAGTATATACAGGGCAAATAACTAGTACAATGCTGAATCAGAAAGATTTGTTTATACTGGAGGAATTTGATGAGCTATAAAGCTCTTTTGTACACATGTCATAGTGACATGCTACCAATAGAAAAGAGGACTGCTTAATTATATGCACCAGTGACTGCAATGTTGAGTGGCGCAAGCAGCGTATTCATGAACAAGCGTCTCCAACCCACTGCTGTGTTGTACTCTGGAGCACCGAGCATTCAGGGAAAGATGCTTTTTGTGTTGAGAAGGATGGGTAGGACACCCAATACTGTTGGCTATGATGGAATACTCGTCGACCCGTCCACCTAGAGGAGTTGGAAATTGTGGTTCCTACTAGCCTATGTGAATGGAAATATACCATAACGTTCATTGCACACATATCATGTATAATTTTATATTTTAATTTTATGAAGGTTTCAGTAGCAAACATGCCTTGATATCTTTCTAGCTTACCTTCCCAACAAGAGCTGTGTGAAATGGAGGGTGAAAAAACAACTGTTAAACATTTTCTATCTATTTGATCAACATTTGCATTTAGACTTTGCAACTGTGGGCTTATTAACGTGTACTGTATATTGAATGTTGGGGTCGCATGTATTTGTGCTTGTAAAATAAAATCCAATTTGAACACTGAAAATGTCTCGTGTAATTGCTTGAGTATTTTTTTGGTCTACAACAGCTGTCAATCGCCACAAAGTGGTGATGTCACCACTTTCTGGCAATTGAGTCCACTTGAAATGTCGTTGATTTGCCGACAGGTCACGGGACAAGCCTCAATCGGTGTCATGGTTAAACCGACCGAGATGGCCTGCCACTTGTTTATTCTACAGATCACATTGCTCCTCCTGTTTTGAACACGTAGTAGGATGGACAACAGGGAAATTAAAACTGTTTGGGAAGAAAGAGATTGGTGCAAGAGAGAGATTGGTGCAAGAAAGGTGTGGCACTACTTGAGCATATTTGCACAAGACAGAGGAAAGTGTACACGTGACGAAGTGTCCGATGGACACCTACGGAGTGTCTGCAGATATATTGCGATGATGATGGCATAGAGGGCAGCAGGTTAGCTAAGTGATAATACTTGCGCCTCACATTTACCGACTCGGGCACCTTGTGTGAAGATTGTATGTTCTCCGACTGTCCCTGCATTGGTTTCCTTCCGTAGCAAAACATAGTTTATTTCAGTTTCTATATTTTGGTATAGCCCTGTGAGCCATTCGGCTCTTGAATCGGGTGCAACCACAACAAACAAAAACACGAACAAGAAAAACATCTTAAAGTGACTATATGACTGTGCAAACAGAAAATCCATGAAAAAAAGCAGCAAAAATATTCCTGAAAAAAGCACCGTACACCAACGCTGTATGCAAAAAATCTTAGTGGGATGCAAGTCAAACAACAACAACAACCACAATCAAACTTAGATTAAGGCCATCAGTCTAACTCCGTACTACAACAAAACAAACATGTCCAAACCAAAAAACGTTTTCGAAATCACCAAAAAAATAAAGCCATAATTGCAACGTAACAGTGATCACAAGGACTGTGACCGAATTGTTACAATAAACTACATAACATACAATGTAAGGGGCCGTCCATAAATGATGTCACACGATTTTGGACTATTTTCACCCCTCCCCCCTTCGTCACACGGCGTCACAAGTCAGACCCCCTCAAATATGACGTCACAATTGTATTTATTTATTTATTTTGGTATAGCCCTGTGAGCCATTCGGTTCTGCCCCCCCCCCCCTCAAAAAAATTAAAACATGCTTCAAATCGCTTTAAACTATTGTCATTGTAGTGCGTATTTAATGTGGCGCTGCACAACATTTATTAAAAAGTATATTTAATTAAGAAGAACGTGTTGTCTATATTTATTTAAAGTTGCGTATTTTGATGTGACGTTACATTTCTCAAAGCCACATCGTCACACATCGTCACAAATGTCTGGTCTGACCCCACCCCACCCCCCCTAGGTGCGTGACGTCATTTATGGACGGCCCCCTAATCAAGCATGGTATTGGCCAATCAACCGCAATGCTAAAACGTTACACAAGTTACTCCGTTGAGATTAGACACGGAAACACCGCACCTCACTGCGAACAGTCGGCGGGACCCTTTAAAATATATATATATTTAACACGCAAGGACACAAGCAAACGGAATGATGGATCCACTTGGCAACCGAGGAGGGATCGCGCAGTTGTGGATTCGACAGTACACCCTCCGATCTCCGCAGTGAACCCGGAATATAACGCAACACAAGTATAAAAGCGTGTTAATAATCACCGGGGTCGCTGTGGAGTATATAAGAAACAATAGCTAGGAATACAATGGGTCTCGTTAATCCATCCCTGCTCCATGTATCGATAGTTCAGTTTTAACGTGCAATTTTATTGAGACGTTGCGTGTTTGTCTTGGTGTGGTCTGGGCCTGCTTTTGGCCCCTTGTTTTGCTGCCTTGCCCAAGCTTGAGAATTTATTAATTTGTACAATTTGAACGCGTATATTTGACCTATTTTACGTATTTTTGTTTAGTGATTTGCTTAGGGGCCGTCCTTAAATGACGTCACGCACCTGGGGGGGGGGGTCAGACATTTGTGACGTGTGACGAGGGGGGGGGGGTGTGAGAAATGTGACGTCACATCAAAATGCGCAACTTTAAATAAATATAGACAACACGTTCTACTTAATCAAATAGACTTTTTAATAAATGTTTTCTCTTACAACATCAGAGTGCAGCGCCACATTAAATACGCACTACAATGACAATAGTTTAAAGCGATTTGAAGCATGTTTTATTTTTGGGGGGGCAGAGCTGTGTGACGTCATATTAGGGGGAGGGGACTGACTTTTTGTGACGCCGTATGACGAGGGGGGGAGTCAAAAATCGTACAAAAAATCGCGTGACGTCATTTATGGTCGGCCCCTTACCTCTCCCATGCTTTTCACCTATATCGTTGTTTGTACTGTTTTGGTGGTGTAACGTTCTGACCCGCTCCGACTGGACATCTGTGAAACAGAACTTTATAGCTCATTGGATTTACCCCCCCGGGATGAATAAATATTCTAATTCTGCTCCACTTCAAAACTAAAAGTTCTAGTTTACACAACCCACGGGCTCCATAGACTCTGAGTTATTAAAAATGTATAACGTTTCGGGAAATGGCCCTGCTTCATGGCATATCTACTGTAAAAGGCAATGACCCGATACGTCGAAGACTACATTTGTTTATACTGCAGATGGTGGTCCAGATGTCTTGTGACGCCCATTTAATTTCCTAAACCTTAATATTTTTCGTCAGGTTTCTCTATCATCTTTTTGCACTACCGTCATGTGTTTTTTTTGTATTGTTTGTTGTTGCAACAGTTTAACCCGCCCCGACTGGACCTCTGTGAAAAGACAAGAGCTTTATAGCTCATCGGATTCCCCCTCCAGTATAAATATTCTGATTCTGATCATTTAAAAAAAACACAAAGGCGCTCTAACTGTATGACACTCACGCGTACAAGCATTCGCTAAATAAATACAATTATAAACAAATGAATATGCAAAGGAAAAATCAATTTGGGGGTACACAAGACATCTGGACCACCCTGCACAGTGCTGTTACTGCATTATTTTTTTTATTATTACACGCTTTTATTTAACTCACTGTCTGTTTTGATTTAAAGCTTTCGTGACTGCAGTGATTCATCTTCTTGGTTCTTTCGGTAAAGTCACGTAGAAGGGAAACAATAAAGTAATTGTTTTATATTTTTTATTATTTTATTATTTCCCTTCTGTTGTAATCCTCAAATCTTGTAACTAAATTTTAACCCACTTCTCAATGTGGTATCGACTGCAAACTTGGTATACTTATGTCATACTGATGACAATACAATATTCTATAATTAAAAAACGTATATTTTAAAACATATATTTTTTAATATGTTGTGTTTCGGCTTCAGTCGACCTTACGTTGTGGCAAGCTTCGGGGCCACTTCCTGGAGTCGTGGAATTATTCCATTACTAGTACGGTACATTTCATTAAAGCGTGTTTTTTAAAAATATATATATATATTTTTTAAATATTACTTATTCCTCTTGACGGCAGCTCGTCGAGTTAAGGTTGTCGGCAACCTGCGGCTCTTTTTAAGGACCGAGCGCATTGCGGCTCTACAAATATTGAGTGTTTATTTAGCAGTATTTATTACCGAATTCGGAATGAATGGCTCTTTCTTGTTGCGTTTGGTTGCCGTACCCCATTGGTGGAGTTGGACCCGGCAGTGAAGGGGTAGCAGGAGGGGGGGTAGTAGGAGGGGGGTAGTAGGAGGGGGGGTAGTAGAAGGGGGGTAGAGGGGGTAGGAGAGGGGGTAGGGTGGGTAGGAAGGGGTAGGGGGGTAGGAGGGGGGGTAGGAAGAGGGGTAGGAAGAGGGGTAGGAGGGGGGTAGGAGAAGGGGTAGGAGGGGGGTAGGAAGAGGGGTAGGGGGGGTAGGAAGTGGGGTAGGAGGGGAGATAGGAGGGGGGTAGGAGGGATTTAAGAGGAATCGCTCCATTCACAATCGCTTTTGCAGCCGCAGTAGCAGCGCAGGGGCCGCCGTAGTTGTTGTGTTGGGTGACGTCAGGCGTGGGGGTGGTGGGGGGGTCACCAAAGCCTTGGCCTACATCGGCGCTGACTTGGGGCCTGTGGAGGCTGCTTCAGCCTGACCCGTCGCCGCTCTTCGCCTCTCTCCTCCTCTCCCCCCCGATTCCCGTCCGCCTTTGTCTCCCCCCTGCAACAGGGGCGGGAGAGATGGCGGACCCGGCCGAGATCCGGCGCCTGGAGCAGCTGTCCCTGGTGTCCAAGGTCTGCACGGAGCTGGACAATCACCTGGGAATTAACGACAAGGACTTGGGTAACGTGCGCGGCCTGGGAGGCCCAACACCAACTCCTGTCCACCAACTATCCTACACTAACTACACTATACTAGTATACTAACTCCTCTACAGTGGCTCCTCTACACAAACTACTCTCTACGAACTACTCTACACTGACTCCTCTACACCAACTACTCTATACTAACTACACTGACTCCTCTACACCAACTACTCTATACTAACTACACTGACTCCTCTACACCAACTACTCTCTACTAACTACTCTACACTGGCTCCTCTACACCAACTACTCTCTACTAACTACTCTACACTGACTCGTCTACACTAACTCCTCTACACTAACTCCTCTACACCAACTACTCTCTACTAACTACTCTACACTGACTCCTCTACACCAACTACTCTCTACTAACTACTCTACACTGGCTCCTCTACACCAACTACTCTGTACTAACTACTCTACACTGACTCCTCTACACCAACTACTCTCTACTAACTACTCTACACTGACGCCTCTTCACCAACTACTCTATACTAACTACTCTACACTGACTCCTCTACATCAGCTACCCTATACGAACGCCTCTACATGGGCTCTTCTACACCGACGCCAGAATCACAATATTTATTTATACTAAAGGCGGAATACGGTGAGCTATTAAGCTCTTTTTCACAGACGTCCAGTAGGGGCGAGTCAGAACGTTACAACAAACAATACAAAAACACGATAGGGGTGCTATGTATGGGAAAGGTAAACGTCACTTTTAAAATATACAAATAAAAGTAAACTTTTTTTTATCTTACCAGGTAAAGCCCACTGAGCTATTAGTACGTCCACCAACTCCCCTGTAGAGTACCTACTCCTTTACTAAACTAAACTTAGTTTTTTATTTTACCAGGTAAGGCCCACTGAGTGATAGAGATCTTTTTCCAGAAGCGACCTGGCTATCACAAATGGTAGCCTAATGAAGTGGCTTATCAAGTGCAAATATATTTCAGCCAAATGCTCTAAAGTTGGTGTAATGACACCAACTTATCGCCGCTAACTCCTCTACATTCACAACGTTATACTCTATGCTAAACTCGTTCCTCTACATTGCACTAGCTCATCACGACCACAGCCGCTAACACCTTTACATGGCACGAGCACATAAATACTTAGTCAAGTATAACGCGGTATCTGCGAGACGTACAACAACAACAACTTGATACTGACGCATAATAACATTAACAACGCGAGTTTCAGATATACACGGTTTACCCATTGAAATCTGTTTTCCGGAACACTGGGGTGATGTTTAGGCTGTACATTGCTTGATGCTGCTCACATGGTCATCTCTGCATCAAAAAGCAGTGCTGTGAGAGTGCTGCATCCGTTGGAAGGTTTAAATGAATCGAACGTGAGAACGATGTTTTTACCACGAATGTTTTTGTGTGTATAGATGTCTTTTGTGTATTTTGTGCATTTTGTGTGTGATAATGTAACGCAACACGCACAACGGCACGTTCATATATTGGCGCGTGCATTTAACCATCAATCAGACGGATGCCGAGATGGCAAATCTTCGGTACCCTCATGCACAACGGCACGACGCAAATGTTCACACATTGCCGCATGCATCCATCTACCTGTCCACTTGTTGAGGACGTAAGTCATACGGACGCCTAGATGGCGAATCATTAACGTTTGAGCGACTGTTCTTGGCGAGCGTGCTGCTGGCGATTCGGAGTAGGGGGCAAGCTTTGGGAATGAGTGCCGCAGTGCAGGAGATGTCATATTTGTGTTGAAGTGAAACTGAAAATTTAAGTGTACGCACACTGAAGAAACTTAGAGCGACTCGGCATCCTTTAGTACAATAACAAGGGTGGAAATCACGTAGAATCGGTGAAACAAAGATTGGAGCGGGTGTACAATACATCCCAACTAACGCCTCGCTACCACACAAAAATGACTTGCCCTATCACAAACACTGTCCTGTCTGACCATAACATAGCACTAGTACTAAACCTTCCACAAAAGTCGCGTGACTTTTTTTACTTACATAGAACTCTGTGTCTGTTCGCAGCCGAATTTGTCATCAGTTTGTCAGAGAAGAACAACACTTTTGAAAAGTTCAAAAAAGTCCTGGAGCAAAATGGAGCGGAATTTTCAGTGAGTACTCCAAGAATCAAGCTTGAAGCTCATTTTGCAGTATGGTGTGGAGTAAAGCTTGAGCCACAAACTCATAGTTTTTGGGTCTTGTGGTAAAGTCACGTAGATAGAAAAACAATAGATCACGACGTTTCAATCGCAACACAGGCAATCGTCTTCAGGTGAGAGAGAGTAAAGCTACTGAAACAAGGTCTTATATAGGCCTGAGATGGGTGCAGCCTCAGGGTAAGAGGGCGGGGCTACAGATGGTCTTCCTGAGGCTGTGGAAGTGGCCACTGTATTGTGAGAGATCAGCATGTCAATGATGCATCAGCCTGTCAAATACAAAGACATCCAACCTAGTAATGCAACTCGGAGAGTCAGCTAACATCGGCAGGAAGGATGGAAACATCACAGCAGGTTAAGACTTTACCTGGTTAATCTTGCCCTTCCAATGATTGCTCAATTTGTACCCATCTTCTCGGTTGAAGTTGTGTCTTTGTTGAAATATCTGGATGGCTTCATGGACAAATCTTTAATGATAGCCAGTGGGTTTGCATAGTACCTTCGTCTTGGAAAAATCAATTTCATGTGAGCCCACAGCGTTAAAACAATATAATGCCCACTTCCACAGCCTCAGGGAGACTATCTCTAGCCCTGCCCTCTTACCCTGAGGGGACTCCCATCTCAGGCCTATATAAGACCTTGTTTCAGTAGCTTTCTTTCTCTCACCTGAAGACGATTGCCTGTGTTGCGATCGAATCGTCATGATCTATTAGTTTTCTATCTACGTGACTTTACCGAAAGACCCAAAGAGTATGAATTCCTGCTGTCACGAAAGCTTTAAACCACAAACTCGTGTTTGACATTACATTTGCTGCGTTTGTTTTCCACAGGACCCGCTTATTAACAACTTGCTGCGTCTCATCCAGACCATGAAACCTGCTCCCAAGACATCCAGCGATAACTCGGGTATATTTTGGTTTTGACTCGTTTTTCTGTTACAGTATTTCCTCGTTATTACTCTGTCGGAAGTAATTTGCTGATGAGCCTTGCCTCTCTTGTTCTTTAGCTGAGGCTTCATCGTCGTCAACCAAGACGAAACAGGAGAAGATGAAAGAGCTTTTCCCTGCCCTCTGTAGGGCGGATGATGATGCTGCACGGGTAAGCACCAGCAGCTGCTTTGTGATGTGTGTACAATATTTTGTGGATGTACGTATGTCTGTTGAACTTCTTTCGCACCGTACATAGCCAACCGTGATTATCGGAGGTGCGGGGGAAGGGCAACAAACTCAACGTGTCTAGATACGATTGCATCTCAAGATGCTGCGTAGATAAAGAGAAGATGTTTATCTTTCTAGAGATAAAGACACAGTCATGAATGATGGTCTTGTTAAGTCCAACATATTATTTTTTGTGTCAATAATTGGAATATGCCAGTATTTTTAGTTTCTGAATCTTTTAGTACTTGTAATGGCTCCAATATAATTGCTGATAACTGAAATAAGAATGCTTGACAGGCAGTTTTGAATGCTTTCAATGGGAAAATTTGACTCCCGTCACCAGCTACAGTGTGTGTGTGTGTGTATGTGTCCACAGCAAACCATGCTCAAGGCTGAAGACATCAAAGTGGCCGTGGATGCCATGGCGGAGTTGGAGGCTCTGATCCCGAAACTCACGGGGCAGGAAGCCAAGCACGGGTGTGTTAGCGACCCAGCCGTGCACACACACACACGCTAACATAATTGCTTGTAGCTAACTTTCATCTTGGCCCAGAGCAATCGGCCGTGACAAACAACCTCTTGTTTTTGTGAATCCGTGCCGATGGCTCTAGTTCAGAGGCAAGCGGCAGCAAGAGAAGCGACAGCCGCGACCGGGATTTCCGGCACGAGGATCGCCACCGAAGGCGGCGCCATCGCTCCCGCTCTCGCTCCCGCTCGCGTTCCCGTATGCGGCGCCATTCACGCTCCCGCTCGCCCTCCCACGACCGACCCCGTTCGTCACGCCACGAGCGCCGGAGGCACCGTGAGCGCACGCGGTCAAATAGCCCCGAGCAAGAGAAGCAGTCGCAGGCGGAGCGCTGGCCCGACCGCCACGTGGACAAACCTCCGCCCGAGGAGCCTAACGTGGGCGACATCTACAGCGGAAAGGTGTCAAGCATCATGCAGTTCGGCTGCTTCGTGCAGCTCGAGGGACTCCGGTACGCAGTGCACGCGCACGCTCACAACACTGAACACGACCGAGATAAATAATTAGGCCCATCGATAATAGTGGAATTTATTTAAACAATAAAGCCTCATGCTGAGTCTCAATATTCTCTTTTATGGTGTTGCTGCATTGGGTTACTTGGCCAATTCTTATTTTTAAGGCGTTTTTGGCATGTGGGAGATAACCAAAGTACACACATGCACAGTCCTTTTTGTTAATTCACTGCTTGATGAGAGCCTCCCCACGCTTTTGTGTTGTGAGGGTTATTTAACCACTACAACCCACTCTTGAAGCTCACATTCCATTTGCTCGGCTGCTATCTACTGGCCATGTTTCAGCTTTGTGACGCTGTCAATTTCACACACGTGCATGGGCCACTACATCTTGCCTCTAACGTTCTGGATGACAGATGTGCAACACGAATTGAATCTTCCTGAGCGGCCAGAGCTATTTAAGTCAATTCGAGATAACATGATAAACTAATGCCGCAATGCTAGCATGCATCATCTATTTTTCGTCATAGATAAATGAGAACACTGATCCAGAGTGTTGTATTCCTGCTGGAGTGGTAATTGAGCTCTGTTGACCCATTGGTAGTAAATGTATATATGACTGATGGTGATCCCTGCATCTGTAGGAAACGCTGGGAGGGGTTGGTTCACATCTCTGAGATCCGACGAGAGGGCCGCGTCGCCAGCGTGGCTGATGTTGTCACCAAAGGTCAGAAGGTCAAGGTCAAGGTGCTCTCCTTCACTGGAACCAAGACAAGCTTGAGCATGAAGGTTTGTGGACCTGTGCTCCCAGAGCTTTGGCTCCAACACAAGATTCAGACATTGACATAGCTTAAAGATTCTGTTAACATAAGTAGGCATGTAAGGTTCACTATCCTCTCCCCCACCTCTGAGCTGAATATTTTTTTTGTTTCAGTTCTTTTTTATCTCATGTTCTCTCATTGCTTCCATTCGCCTAAATATAAGATTTAATTTCTTACTTGATTTTTTCAAGGTTTCTAATAGACTGGAGGACGTAAATGACTAGTGTCCACAGCCATAGTGCGATATTTACAGGATGTGGTATGCTAGGTGTGTAAATATTTTGAATTGAAACCTGCCTAATCCTATAATTCGTGTAAATCGCAAAATGACATTTTATTATGCTCACGATTCGATCAATGCATCTTGGCTACAGGAATCGATATGCATCGATGCCGAGTTCGTAGCGTGCCGGGCTACCGAAGTTTGAAGGCCGCTTTTGTTTCGGCAAGCGCAGGACGTGGAGCAGGAGACGGGCGAGGACCTGAACCCGACGCGGCGGCGCCTGCTGGTGGCTGACGCCGGCGAGGAGGCGGCGGCCGCAAGAAACCCCGACCGCCCATCGCACATGCCGCTCGTGAGCGCGCCCGAGGTGGAGGACGACCTGCTGGAGCGCAAGCGTCTCACGAAGATCTCTGACCCCGAGAAGTGGGAGATCAAGCAGGTGGGAAGCGGGCCCAGGAGCTGGGATAGCAACACGGCACATGGCAGAGAGCTACGAAATCTGAACTGAACTATAAACTCGGCTGTTTTTGATTTACCAGCTAAGGCCCACTGAGCTATGTAGCTCTTTTTCTGAAGCGACTTGGCCACATATGATTGCTCAACGAAGTGGATTATCACGTGAAAATTTATAGCAGCCAAATACTCCAAGCGCGTGTTTTTAAATGTGGAGGGAAAAACCGGAGGACCTGGAGAAAAAGCCACACGACCATGCGAGAGAGAGAGAGAGACATGTAAACTCCAAATATACAGGCATCAGGGTTGTATCGGACCCACGACCTCCTTTGTCAGGTGAGGTAGGTAACATCCCTCCACCGCTGTCCCAGGGTCCGGAGCTGACGTTCAGGTTATGTTAATGGTTTTGTTGCAGTGCGCTCCTTTTTGAAAAGTCTTTTTTTTCCTTCAGTGTACTACGTGTGATGATGATATTAGGTTTTTGAGAACAGTTGCAGGTTTTAGGTTTATTTTTTTCTGTTTAGAGTCAAAACACTAAACTTTGTCTTGATTCCGATTTATTTTATTTATGTCCTCTTCACAGATGATTGCAGCAAATGTCCTTCCAAAAGAAGAATACCCAGATTTCGATGAGGAGACTGGAGTCTTACCCAAGATAGACGACGATGAAGGTGTGAAGGTCATTCGCGATCGACATCCTTTTCGGAACTGTGTGAAAGACGTTGCGCCTGAGTAACAAGCAGGTTGCTGATGGTGGAACCGGGTGTTGTGCGGTTGGCGTTGTGGTGGGAGGTGGTGCTGTAGGGTGTGGTTTTGTGGTGGGAGATGGTAAGCTCTATGGGTGGCGCTGTGTTGTCAGATGAGGACGTGGAGATTGAACTGGTGGAGGAGGAGCCTCCATTCCTGCGAGGCCACACTAAGCACAGCACTGACCTCAGCCCCGTCAAGATCGTCAAGGTCAGCTCCAGCTTGCGCTGCTTAACATTTCTGCGCCCCTACGAGTCTTTGAATTTTCACAATTTTAAGTCATTATTTTTTCAGTTTTTTTTTCACTGCTAATACCTTCACTCAATTCACTGAAAGTCTCCTTTTTTCTGTGCGGCACCCTGGAAGCGATAATTTTAAAATCGGAAGCAGTCTCAACTCAATACTTTGATCCAGAAACTCAGTCTCAACTCAAGACTCTGGTCTCAACGCCGAGATGACGAAACCTCGCCTTCCTTGTGACCCACGTTGTTCCCCGTTGTTTCCCAGAACCCGGACGGCTCGCTGTCGCAGGCCGCCATGATGCAGAGCGCTCTGGCCAAGGAGCGGCGCGAGATGAAGCAGGCGGCACGCGAGGCTGAAATGGATTCCATCCCAACGGGCCTCAACATGCACTGGATCGATCCTCTTCCTGACGGCAAAGCCCCTCCCTCCTGCCACGCGCACACATACACGAGCACCTACTCCACACTCGGGGTCAATTATAACTATAGTTAACTATTATGATACGTGATCGACAGCAGAGGGTGGTGCGGAAAAATGCCATTTTTATTCTGTGCAATGCTCTGACGTCTATGCACCAAACCTTTGTTAATCTCTCCTGACCAGTAATAAAGTAACCACTGACCAATAGCGGGTGCACAGTCTCTCATCCAGCAGGGGATTGACAAAATGGCTGTACATGTACAGTATTCCCTGGTTATTCATGGACTTGTTTTCCGTGACTTTGGCTGTCCGTGAATCGCTTCTGGAACTCTGCACGACTGTATTGAGATAGAGAAAGAAAGTGATGAGGTGAAGTGATGTGAGAAAGTGATGAGATAGAGATATGTTGTAATAATTTTCATGTATTTAATTGCTTATTTATGTATTTAATATATTTGTATTGAACGTATCCCTCCACAAATAATGAGGGAATACTGTACAAAGGAAATTCACGTCTTCAGAGCTCGCCAACCATCGCTGATACAAGTAATATCACATCAAGGCAAAAGTCAAACTCAAAAGTCGGCATATGTCATTATGGTGGTGCTAATCTCCATTGGTGGCCTTGTGCTGGTGGTGTTGAGGCTCTCATCCAGTGGTGGGGTTGACAAAAGGACTGCACACATGCTGTGGCCTAACACATCGTGGCATCACGTGTTGTGCTGAACCGCTGTACTGAATGGAGTGCCGCATGTGTTACCGTGTGCAGCCGAGGGTCGCCAGATTGCAGCAAACATGCGAGGCCTGGGCCTGATGCCGCCCGACATGCCGGAGTGGAAGAAGCACGCATTTGGCGGCAACAAGGCCTCGTATGGTAAGAAGACGGCCATGTCCATCATCGAGCAGCGAGAAAGCCTGCCCATCTACAAGCTGAAGGAGCAGTTGGTGCAGGTGAGGTGTTGCTGTGGAGAAGTTGAGAATACAGACGAAGCTGCATTGCCTTTGCTACTTTAGATGTATGTATTTAACATAGCCAACTGTGCTCATCGATGCAAGGTGCAACAGTTTATTGCATGCGGTGTTTGTGATGTAACCTTTATGTCCAAGTTGGTTTTGACGGCTTGGCATCTGGAATGCGCCAGGTCTTGGAAGCTAAGCGTCGTTGAGCATGCACGAACAGATTGTCATAGGACTGCAGAGCTATGTGGTAATGATTAGATAGCCATGCAGCAAGATAAATTTTTGTTCTGTACTTCTATGCGTCTCGTATTGCACCGTTCCGCCAAGACACACGGCCGTCCGCCACGCTCGCGCACTCTCTTTGTTCCATTTTTCCCCCACGCTAGGCCGTGAACGACAACCAGATCCTGATCGTGATCGGCGAGACGGGCTCGGGCAAGACAACGCAGATCACGCAGTACCTGGCGGAGGCGGGCTACACGACGCGCGGGAAGATCGGCTGCACGCAGCCCCGTCGTGTGGCCGCCATGTCCGTGGCGAAGCGCGTCTCCGAGGAGTTCGGCTGCTGCCTCGGGCAAGAGGTGTGTGCGTCTCTCGTCCGTCACAGCCTTTTCCCCGCTGTGGACAACTGCCCGCAAGGGGGAGTAGCAGCATCGGTTTGACTCCATAGATTCTCATCCCCCTTACGGTGAACCAAAATTTGTCCATGTCATCATCTTGATTAGAGTTTTTGGCTGCTATAAATGTCCACATGATAAGCCAATTCGTTGAGCTATCATTTGTGATGGCCAGATTGGTTCTGAAAAAGAGCTATGTAGCTCAGTGGGCCTTACATGGTAAAATTAAACGAATAAGATAGCTGTCGGATCTCAGAATCCATGCTCATCCAAGCTCAAGTGATCCCATCCGAGCTCAAATGAAATTGACCTCTGAATGAAGACAATTAGGAAGGTTTTGTCACGTCAACAAAACATGCCAATTTGTTACGAGTACAACACACTGGTGTTTTGGAGTATTAACCACAACATTTACAACTCGCCTACAACGTTTGGCCAATAATTACATCATCACATTTATATTCATGCGATCTAACCCAAAAAAAAACCTTCATGGATAATATTAGTCACGAAACCGTACGTGTTAAACTGGGCAGGAGATGGCAATAACAGCAATGGATTGGATCTCAAAGCATATGTACCTGGGCTCATTGCCACGGTGGTATGGATCTGTGCGAGCCCTTCAGAAATGTAAAAAATGTGCTTGTGCGTGTTACGCTGGCAGGTTGGGTACACGATCCGTTTTGAGGACTGCACCAGTCCCGAGACGAAGATCAAGTACATGACGGACGGCATGTTGCTCAGGGAGTGTCTCATCGACTCGGAGCTCATGCAGTACTCCGTCGTGATGTTGGACGAGGCCCACGAGCGCACCATCCACACCGACGTGCTCTTCGGTCTCCTCAAGAAGGTAGGCTGCTCAAGGCGGTCGTAGCCTGCACAAGAAGGTTGCTTTGCCGGTTAAGTATCGCCAGAGTAGTTATTTTTGGTATACGTACGCATGTTGAACTTCTATCGCACCGTACGTAGCCAACCGTGCTAATCGGCGGTGCGGGGAAATACAACAAACTAAACACAAAAAAGCAGTTCTAAAGGAATTAGTTTTCAATCTCAATTATTTAAAAGTGGATAGCTCCAGCATCTTCCTCATATCGGAAGGAAGAGCGTTCCAGACGGCCGCAGAAGTGCATCTGCATCCTTGTTGAAATATATGTTGATATATTATGTTGATATATCAATATGGTAACACTAGCAAGAAGGTCTTGGGTTTGATGTCCGACTCGGGTGCCTTTATGGAGTTTGTATGGTCTCCCCTTGTTCTGCATGGGTTTTTTCTGGGTTCTCTCATTTACCTTACATCGCTAAAAACAGCATAGAATGTAACTGGTATTGGCCAAACATCTAATTGCTGAAAATGTTAATGCAACTTTGGATTACACATAGTAACATTGCTCCCTTCTACCAAATGTATCAACAACCTCCTAAACAGCAGTTTTGGGACTTGATGAGGCTTTTCTGGGTAAGCAAGTGTAATCGTAAACATGAACAAATATTTTCGTATTAAGTCTTTATCACTCGCTGCCTACCGGTGAATAATATTGCAAGTAATCGTCGATGTTACATAGAGCAATTTAGGAAAGTACAACGGTTGTAAATAAAGATCAGAAAGGAAACATAATGAGTTGCCTCTGAGCGAACGCTACCTTGTTGTGTCCCACTCCACCCGTCAGACCATAAAGCGGCGTCTGGACATGAAGCTGATTGTGACGTCGGCCACGCTGGACGCCGTCAAGTTCTCGCAGTACTTCTACGAGGCACCCATCTTCACCATCCCCGGGCGCACCTACCCCGTGGAGATCCTCTACACCAAGGAGCCCGAGACGGACTACCTGGACGCGTCGCTCATCACCGTCATGCAGATTCACCTCACCGAGCCGCCAGGTGCCTCACTCGTGCGCTCACGCCCGGCCGCACTGCACGTGTGTGCACGTTGGCATAGGTAGAGTAATCATCGACCCCACAAGTGACTTTCATACAGGTCACGTGATATCACCATTCTGCGTGTATAATGCTCAACGGCCTCTTTTGTTTAGACCGCCAAGATTCAAAATTGTATCCATATTACTTTCCGCAGCAGCAGGACATTGAGACAACTGAATACCGGTTTCGTCCTGGTTAGGAATCGTCATTATAGCATAGCCATCATTCCTTACTGCTGCTGCCTTGTGCCTCAAATACTATGGCAAGGCATGCTGGGAGAATTGAGGTTATGGTCAAAGTAGTACCTTATTCTCTTGTTTAGAATTAATTTTATATGTTTCCAGCCTACCTGCAGTTTTTCGTTTCATGAGGTTATTATCATTTTACAGAACTTGTTAAAATAATATGTTAAAACACTCCACTGCGTGTTGATGTTTGTCTGAATTATATATAAAAAATAACCTAGATTTATCTTCTCTAAAGGCCTTTGTTTAATTACAAACCATGTAACCATCTGTCGTTAGAAACAAAATGTTCCTTATGTCTTAAATACAACATTTTCTGGAAGGCAAATAACGTTATTATAAATAGGGTTCTTGAAGTTGGGTGTCCTTGGCGCATCACGTTATGGAAATGCCTTGCCTTTTGCTTAATGACCCGGATGGAGTTGCCCGTCTCTGTCGGTTTTTGCTGATGTTCGCTTAAGGCTTGTGTGTCGCTTGAACGGGACTTGTCAAACCGCTATGCGTGGTGTGGCACTGTGCAGGCGACATTCTGCTGTTCCTTACGGGTCAGGAGGAGATTGACACTGCTTGCGAGATCCTCTATGAGCGCATGAAATCGCTGGGCCCCGAGGTGCCGGAGCTCATCATCCTGCCCGTCTACTCTGCGCTGCCCAGCGAGATGCAGACACGAATCTTCGACCCTGCACCCCCGGGCAGCCGGAAGGTGTGTGCCCTGCTCCTGCCCAGGCTAAAGCTCTTCGCTCATAACCCCACAATCTTCTGCTTAGGTTTTTCACTGCTGCGCGCGCCCCCTTCTGTATTTTTTCAGGAAGTGCCCTGTGTTCTTTACCAATGAAGTTTCACTCCACCTTGCTGGGTGCGTCTTGAGTCCCTGAAGAGTCTCTTCAGTTCTTGAAGAAGCTCTATACACATGGAGGAAACAAAATGTCAAACACTGATTAAGATACATTTTTTAAAAAATTTAAACAGTGCTGATTTTCGGATTTTTAAAAGAATATTTGAAGGCGGTGTGGCAGCATCTCTTTTAAGAATGATATTGGCTCCCTGGCCACTGATGGGAGAATTCACCTCAGAATACCATGATTGGCTACGTACGGTGCGAAAGAAGTTCCACATATGTACCGACCTCACCACGATGCATGCCAGTTTTTGCTGAATGTCACTCAACGCTGCCACATGCCACTCGCTGTGTGTGATGCAGGTGGTCATTGCCACCAACATCGCGGAGACATCGCTGACCATTGATGGCATCTACTACGTGGTGGACCCTGGCTTCGTCAAGCAAAAGGTTTACAACTCTAAGACGGGCATTGACCAGCTGGTGGTCACCCCCATCTCACAGGTGAGCATCACCAGCAGCAGCAGCAGCAGCCTCCCATCATTTCTCTTTCACTTTGTCATTTGCTGTTGAGAGAAAATCTACGTTGTCAGCAGAGAGCAGTGCAGCAAAATGCATGATACTGCACAATGCTCCAACGGCTCTACTCCCCACCTTCACCAACCCACACTGACCAGCTTGGTGAAGTATGGCCAAATCACTTGTTCGACGCACACAGTGTGAAGAGGTCCTCATCCAGCAGTGATTTGACAAAGGAGCCGTATATACACACCCTGCTGCTCTTTTTAAGACCGGGAGCAAGCGAGGGCTTTACCATTCTGGCGAATTGCCCTATGATGCTGGATGTAATTACCAGCGAAACGTCGTACTCAAATTTTAAATGATGTTGATTCACTCTTCAACACACCGGTGGGCTAAAGTAGTGAACTATTTGTCCTTTGTAAACGTGACACATGTTTTACTGTTTGGCCGTGTCGGTTGGTGGAGGGTTATGACACATTTATAAATAACGTGATCTAACCCAAAAACCTCTATTATGAGTATATACACATGTTGAGCAGATGTGTTATATCATTAGACCTCCTTTGCCAGTACCAAAATGTAATAATAGGGTTTTTCCCCTTTTTTTCTGGCAACAAAACTGAAATCTTTTCACGAGGATTCATGTCTGCAGATGACGTCTTTTGGCGTCATCTGGTCGAGCACCAATTGGGTCGAGGCTCAAAAGAAAGCCTTCCCTTGGTGTGGACCAATCAGTTTCAAGGACAATGCATATGTTATCATAGTGTGTTTTTTGTTTGCATTTTGACTGCAGGTATTGTGGTTAATGCAGACATGAATCCTTGTAAAAAGCTTTCAGTTTTGTTGCCAGAAAAAAGGGGAAAAACCCTATTATTACAGATGTGTTATATTTTATTCATTTAATAGTCACGTGTAAGTAAACCCAACAGCTCTGTCCACCATTGTTTGCACTTTGTTGCGGTTACGCAAAAGCTGTGTCATCCTCGCCACTATCCTCTTGCTGTCGTGATAACAACCTCTTTCTTTCCACCTGCCCAGGCCCAGGCGAAGCAGCGTGCGGGCAGAGCCGGCCGCACGGGCCCCGGCAAGACTTACCGCCTGTACACGGAACGTGCCTACCGTGACGAGATGCTCACCACCAACGTGCCCGAGATCCAGAGAACCAACCTTGCCAGCACCGTGCTGTCCCTCAAGGTGGGGCCTCCGTGTGCGCCACATTTGGGTAGCCCTGAACGGCATGGGCCCATGGAAATGGCGACTATGTGTTATGCTGGCCAAGGGAATCTTTTACCCTGACACTGCTCCATGTTAAAGCATTGCTCTTCAAATTAGGGAGATTTACCACAGTAAACCCCGATGGTTGGGCATTTTTTAATGATTTTATACTTAACTTATGAAAAATATTAATTTAATTAGCTGATTATTATGAACAGCACTGTTAAGATACCAGCTGCGACAATGAAAGACAATGTTGAGTTTTATAACTGGCGCTGACCTTTGTGTTCCTTACTCATAAGCCTAAACAAATATAAAACTGTCACGAGCCTAGAAAAATGGCACAAGTTTTGATGCGGCATTAGTGATTACTTTGCGTTTAATCGTGACAGTAATGGTTTGCAAGGTGCTTCGCTGCGATGATGAGATGTTCACCTGGTATACAGGAGGTCGTGGGTTCTTTCCCAACCCTGATGCCTATATAAAAAGTTCTACATATATATTTGTAGTTTGCATGTTCTCCCTGTGGTCACGTGGATTTTTCTCTGGGTCCTCCGGTTTTTCCCTCCACATTTAGAAACGCGTTTAGAGTATTTTGTTGCTATAAATTTCCACGTGATGATAAGCCCCTTCGTTGAGCTATCATTTGTGGCCAGGTCACTTCTGAAAAAGAGCTACATAGCTCAGTGGGCCTTACCTGGTAAAATAAAAAAAATAATGTAGTTTTATTCATAATAAAGGTTTTTGGGTTACGCGTCATATTCCTAACTGGCTGTGGTGGAGGGTTAGGACACATTTATACTTACGGGATTTAACCTAAAAACCTTTTTTATGAATAATATGGGTTTGCGAAAGCTTACGTGTTAATGTAGTTTTAGTCTATAGCTTCCTTGCCGACTCCCCCTGGGTGTGCGCGAGGCCGTGACTGACCCCTGCCTGTGTTGCACGCACTCTCCCGTGTGCAGGCCATGGGCATCAACGACCTGCTGTCCTTTGACTTCATGGATGCCCCTCCCATGGAGACGCTCATCACTGCCATGGAACAGCTCTACCAGCTGGGGGCACTGGACGACGAGGGGCTGCTCACGCGTCTGGGTCGCCGGGTACGCCGCGCACACGAGTTCATCGCAACCCCGCCCCCCCCTAGCCCTGACTCGGCTCACCGGCTGGTTGCTGGGCTGTGGTTGTGGTGTCTGGCATTGGAGGGAGAGCTTAGGAGAAATTGAGGGCTCCCTATGGTACTGTCGATAGTGGGCATGTCGCAATGCTCTGGCCTCCCCTAGGTCTACTCAGCCTAAATATGAGTGCAAATACATAATTTGTCATTAATACAAATCATTTAATTTGAAAATCATACAAAGCAGGAAAAGTAATGGTAAACAATATAAATTAAATGATGAGACAATTCATTAAATCACTGGGAAGTGGATTATCACATACTTAGCAGATAAGGGCATGGACTTTGTAGATTACAAACACTGCCACCGCTTCGGGCCATTTGTATTTCCATTGAATGATTGCAAAACTTTAAATTTTCCAGCATTTATGCCGTCTTAATATTAATTCGTGATTAAGTTTCATGTTCAGTGGAACATAATTGAAAATGTTTTCAGCCACGAGGGAGTGAATTATTTCTGCGTCAGGGGTGGCGTTGCTATAATGAGTGGCGGCCGCCTCTGGCCTTGGACCACGGGAGCTACGTGGGCCCTGTCCAGGTGGCGCCGTTGGCCCCTAGAGGCCACGCTTCCGCCCCATGCATGTGTGACGCGCGTTTTTGTGTACCGCGCAGATGGCAGAGTTCCCCCTGGAGCCCATGCTGTGCAAGATGCTCATCATGTCCGTACACCTCGGCTGCAGCGAGGAAATGCTCACCATTGTGTCCATGCTGTCCGTACAGAACGTCTTCTACCGCCCCAAGGTGACATGACCCGACCCTCGTGAGCATCCGTCTCAGTTCACTTAAAGGAGGACGCACCCTAAGACAAATAATATATCCCTAGGCCTAGTCTGTGTGTCCTGGGCTGCCCGAAATGGTTAATGGAGAAATGTAAATAGGAATTAAAAAGGCTAATGTTCAAGTGTGCTGCTGTGGCGTGCTCTAATAATGCCAGTGATTCACTTCACCGTAACTGTGAAGGTTTTACTCATTAACGAATCACGAACACACTGCCTGGTTATATATTCGTGAAGATAATAATAAACATGATTTATAACTTTTGATTTAAAGCTTTCATGACTGCAGGGATTCATATTCTTGGTTCTTTCGGTAAAGTCACGTAGAAGGGAAACAATAAAATAATAAAAATATAAAACAATAAAATTATCACGATGTTTCGTGATAATTGAAAACCACAGCAAGAAAATTTGAAAAAAGTGGCGTGTTTTTTTTTTACGTTAGCACCATGCAGAGCGATTTGGCAGTTATTCAGATGGACGGGTCCATCTATGTTCGGAAAAGAGGAAGGGGGAGACGAAAATAATGGATGCGGTCTGAAAGCCACCGTAAGCGTGAAAAATCAGTTAAGACCCGAAATGGTTTATCAAATCCTTCCAATGATTGCTAAGCCAAAATCCATCTTCTCGGTCGAAATTATTTGTATGGCAGTGTGTATGGTGAGTATATCGGTGTATTCATATCTTTTTCTGACATGCCCAATTTATAGCAAGAATTTCCAAAAACTGATTTGGTCATACATGACAATAGATTTATATAGCATTTGAATACAATCACATCTCGAGAAATTGTGCAGAGCAACAGCACGTGCACATCGAGGGAAAAGGAGGCATATGGTATGTATGTAATTGAAGACATTCTTCGGCTGATGAAAAGGGAAAGGTCTTCAACCTTTTACTTGAACAGGGGTTAAGGAGTCATCAGTGTGGCTGTCTCTAGAAAGAGAGTTCCAGACCATAATGGCGGCAGAGGAGAATGAGCAACCTCCCACTTGAGCAAAGTTTAACTGGGGGAATCCAACATAAGCCTTTGATTGCTGGTGTGGAGAGAGAGCGTGCAAGGGTTTCGAGAGAGATGGGAGGTGAGAAGGTATTCATGGGTGAGGCCATGGAGGACCTAAAAATGCATGGAGGCTATAGTAATTACTTTTTCACTTGTAAGATAATCGCAGCCAATCTGATGTTGTCTGACGTGTGCCCGCTGCTGCCTGGCGCTCGCGTTTCCAGGACAAGCAAGCGCTTGCCGACCAGAAAAAGGCCAAGTTCAACCAAGCGGAGGGAGACCACCTCACTCTGCTGGCCGTCTACAACTCGTGGAAGAACAACAAGTTCTCCAACGCATGGTGCTACGAGAACTTTGTGCAGGCGCGCACGCTCCGTCGAGCACAGGATGTGCGCAAACAGATGCTGGGAATTATGGACAGGTGCGTGGGTGTGTGGAAGAGGAGTAGTGCACTGGTGTGTGGGGGGAGCGGTAGTGGTTAGCGCGCTGCGCTATGAACCCCGCGACCCGAGTTCGATTGCTGCTCACGGCTAACACCGGTGATGATTATCTAAACTGGTCCTGGGCCTCCCCTAGGTCGACTCAGCCTCAAATTAATACCTGGTGAGGTGTGTAAACATCGCCACGAGGAAGACAATGTCGGCCGGGCGTGGTGTTGGCCACCTACCCCCTCATGTGCCATGCCGGCCTTCATGGGTGCTCGCTTACAGCACTTGCCCCAGGGGCATGTTTAGACTATATGGGGGATCTTTACCTTTGCAATAGTGTGTTCTGCGTTATCGTTCTAGCGACCTGAGTTTGATTCACAACCGCCGCATATGGCACCTGTGGAAAGTGATATCCTGAACCTGTCCTGGCAGCACCCACCATCATTATTAATGGGTGTATTTTGTGGGTAAACACCAGGCCATGCTGATAGTTGTTTGAATGCTCTGTGTGTGTGCGCTCATGTGTCGCTCATGTTGTTTTCAGATCCTTGTGTGAAGGAACTCTGTATTTCATTTTAACCATGTATTTTGTGTGCAATTGGCCTTTATGCATGTGTGATGTTGTTTCGCGTGGCAAGTTGTGAAGATGCAATTCGCATCGCTTGGTCACAGCAATTAGGCCCTTAAAAACAACAATACAAAATTCACTGTTGAAAAACGGAAACATTTTGCTTGATCTGTTAAATTTGCTACAATCATCGGCTGTTAAATTGTAATTGCTATCTTCCTGTTTTTATGTCAGAATGTGAAATCTACCAGAATATGCTAATGTAATTTGCATATGCACAGAGGCTCCGCTTTTTTTTCCTAATGTGTCTTGTTTAAAATGAATGATTTTCCAGCCTGCACTATTATTCTGTTATGATGGGGATTCCTCGTCATTAAGAGGTTTTATTATTGTAGGAATTAATCAAGCTAATGGGCCCTATAGTGCTGATGTGGGGACTCCACATATATTGTTCCCAGAGGCAGACTTGGCAACAGTGAGCATTGGTTACTATACTGTGCTGATGAGTCCTCATTAGAACAAAACCCGCGCACAGTTGTCCATTACTACATTTCTGCTGCTGTCAGCCAGTCACATTTGCTCAAATATATTGTAATGGTGACCCAATGTGAGGGCCACAATGCACTTCACAAGTAAATGCTGATCGTTTCCGTGTCGTTTGAAACCCGTGGTGAAGGCACAAGCTGGACGTGGTGTCATGTGCCAAGGCCACAGTACGCGTGCAAAAGGCCGTACTGAGTGGCTTCTTCAGGAACGCAGCAAAGAAGGACCCTCAGGAAGGCTACCGCACGCTGGTGGACCAGCAGGTGGTCTACATCCACCCGTCCAGCGCGCTTTTCAACCGCCAACCAGAGTGGTAGGTGTAGCGGGCAGTGGCGGCCGATGGAAAAATATTGTAACTACTATGTATCACGTGAGTTTACCTTGTGATGGCATGTGTGCTGGAGAGGTAGTGTTGTGCTGCAGACAGCATGACTTCTTAGTTTAAAGGCTGGCCGATAATTAATGAAAGACTGTCATTAAATCATTAAATGCTGTGAATTCGAGGAAGTTATTGCCCTGATCCCATATTCGTAGTAGGGAAATCTGCTTAGGAAAGTATACGCTTGACTGCTTCTGCGGTGATGAGGCTAAATATTTGCATTTATCGCTTAATTGCCATGGCACATTGAAGCAACTTTTACCATTGCACAGCAAATGAAAAAAAAACACCAGAGCTAAAATAGGGGAAGAGCGAGGGAAATAAAAAAGACAAGACCTACAGCAGAGGGCCTTGTACCATGGACGCATGTCATTTGTATTTAAAACCCCGTGTACTGCCGCGCTCGCTCACTACCGCATGCGCGTGACAACCCCCCACCCCACAGGGTGGTGTACCACGAGCTGGTGCTCACCACCAAGGAGTATATGCGCGAGGTCACCACCATCGACCCCAAGTGGCTTGTGGAGTTTGCGCCGGCCTTCTTCAAGGTGTCGGACCCCACGCGCCTCAGCAAGCAGAAGAAGCAGCAGCGCCTGGAGCCGCTCTACAACCGCTACGAAGAGCCAAACGCGTGGAGAATCTCTCGCGCCTTCCGCCGTCGATAAGCCTGCGTCTCCTCAATTGGTCCCCCTCATGGTTCCAATTCCACCTTGTGTCCTATGCACGTCCAGCCCTTTTGGTCAATCCACCGCTGGATGAGGGCCTCCTCCCCACACCGTGTGGGGCGTCGTTAATCATGCTTCACCACGCTAGTCAGTGCAGGTTGGTGAAGGCGGGTGAGTGTAGACGCGAGTGCATAGGACTACATTGCACCAATGAATCTTGTCGTACTGTAATTTGCTGCCCAGCATGTCGGCCCACAGCATGTAACACCTATTATGCACGGTGGTTGACCATAAAAGTACTATCCATGCTCGAACCTCTGCTTAGCTTCTGTGGTCTTATGGGATCGGCTGGCATCCTTGTGATTTGTTTTATAAACATTGTTTATTTTTGTTTAGTGTAGACTACAAACCTGAATGCGAACACAGCGAGAGACTTAAGTCGTGGGCTTATTTCTGATCTTGTTGTGAGACAATTGTTTTTATATATATCAACCTCCATCGATACAGCGTAAAGTGACTGAATTATTCATTGGAGTGTCGCTGAGTGCCAAGTCGATTACAATATTCAGTCTTTAATGTTACTTGTAAGTAACCACAAAGGGGACTGCTCACATGCGTTGGAAAATTCCAAGTTTGAATTCTGCCTTGCTGCTTTCACACATTTGACATTTTGATAACTGTCCAAGAAAGGAATTAATCCCACTCTGTTATGCTCTGGCCTTAGGTCCATTCTTGGTTGTTGCATCTCGTGTTTAGTTAGATACTCCATCCCTGTCCAGTGGGGTAAATACTTGAGTATGTGCACGTTAACAAGAGACAATGATAACACGAGCTTCGAGGCATAACCCTCCTAACTTACTTGGATCTACGTTTGTGTGGATATCAGAATGACATGCTTTTTCACGAAGAACGTCAATCAGCATTGCTGTGTTTCTGTCCGGAGGCTAAGTGTACAATAAAAACCAACCATTCCCTTTTAAATAATTTGTCTTTTCTATTAACGTTTATTTTTAAGGGTGTACAGTCCGTTTACAGGTCCAAACTGAGTTAGACATGAAATAGCTTTTAAGCGTTTGGCACCAATGGTTGTTATGTTCAACTTCATAACCTTAAAGTGATTAAGGCTGCTGAAAGTGCAGAACTGTGTCATATATGCAAGGTATCAAAAGCATAACTTCCAGACATGCATCATTGTTTGAATTGTTTTATTTTCATTTACAATTGTGTTGTCATGGATTGTTATATTAATCCCAAATTATTAGGTAATGTTCAATCTACTTTGGCATGTCTTATACAAGCGACACATGCCAACGCAATCTCATCTGCCTACCACCATTAACACACAGGGTTGGTGTTCCATAATTGGGAAGAGTATGCAGTGTATAAGGTGTGACTGGACAGAGATGCGAGTGGTATTGAGTGTTGTGAAGTATTTTATTTTAAAAGCCTTCCGGCCCTGAAACTCAGATCAACATGTGCAGAGTTTCTAAGCGAAGCTGCTGCATTTGTTGTAGACGTTCAATAATAAATGAAGGCGGAAGGAATGTATACCACTTTTTCAGACTCAGACAGAAAGTCATGTTTTATTCTGGAGTCCTTAAAAAGGATGGGTGAAAAAAATATTGTGTCGTTGCAATTTTGGGAATTTGCGTTCTCTAAAGGACTATTCTACTGGATTTATCATCATTGCAATACACACAATAATACACTGCATGTATTGTAGTGACATTTGGGAATGTGCACATTCCACAAATAGCATTTTTCTGTTGCCTCCGATATGTGCTGGCTGCAGCACTTGCTTTGAACCGTTTCCAGTGAATGCTGCTGCCAGCTTTAGGTGTGACGTGTTGCCTGTGGCTTAGCTTTGCTTGGCTGTGCTGATGCTTACACTGCATAGATATTAAGGCATTCATACCTTGTAATCCTGGCATTGTGCAAGGATATATATGAAGCTCGTAGTCGATACAATTGGTTGTGTTTGTGGAATCCGTGTTGCTCTTTGTGCAATATTAGATCTATTATCTTACGGCAGAGTTGCAGCATCACCCCAACCTATCTAACTAATTGTGATATGGAAAAGCGAAGACATGGTAACATTTCAACGTGACTTTACCGAAAAAACTAGGAATATGAATTACTGCAGTCACGAAAGCTTTAAATCAAAATTTCATGTTATGTTAGTGATCTGAAATTATCTTCTTTGGTTATCTGAAATTAGTTAAGCATTTTTGATCATTAGATTGAATTACATTTAGTCTGTACTTGTGAATGCTCTATGGCTTGGCCACTGGCCACTCAGCTGACTAATGAGTGGCAGGCTGTGGCGATGATGGTGAGCATTATCATGAACTCTTGGAAGTCGCACTCCGCATCTCCATTAAGGTCCAGGTCCCTCATGAGCATTTCCAGCATCTGGGGATCCTTCACCCCCTGCGGTTCACAAAGTATAAGAATAATAGTCTTAGCATAACCTTTGTTGAAGAACAATTTGAGGGTTTCATGGCATGTGCTTGTCTCTGTAATGTCGGACACCAGTCACGTTACAAAATATGACGGTACATACACACCATACCAAAATACAAAATGATCTGTCACGCAGAATTCTCATTGCAGTAAAACTCCTGTCCAATTTAATATGGACCAATTCTACCACTCGGGTGTTACACACATTTTACAGATTTTATGCAAGTGGTAAAGTGCGAATAAACACGGATAATAGGATGGATTTTCCACTGCTCCCGGATTATTTTCTTGCCTGCACAAAAGGCTCAAATATTATTGCACTTCTGGAATACCACTTCAAGGAGAATTGACCTTTGCAAATAGGTCTGATAATTAATCGAATTATTTTCTGACACTTGTGGGTTACTACCTCTTGTGCGCACGATGGCTTGGATGATATGCAGAATGTAGTTCATCATTAGAAGGTGTGCAGCTCGTGTCGGGCGTACAGATAGGAAATGGGGGGGGGGAAGGAGTTTGCCAGGAATAATGACATCGGTGGAGAGAGTTTACAGCCAAATCATTCGTGGCAACCTCAACACAACCAGTGCTGTTAACGAATTCATTGATGAATATTATTACATCAGAATTTCTTAAATGAGGCTATAGTTACGCTCTGAAATTTAAGCACAGATAAGGTTTTTTTTTTTGCTGTCCAGACAACAGCAATAATTCATTCAATAACAAAGTTATTAATTTAGGTAATGTCGTGTGGACTTGTTAACGTATGTTGCTGATACAGTGTTGGCAGTGAAGCATTCACCTCCAGGAAGTGAGAAAGTTCGATGTTGATGAGCTCCTTCAGCTCGGACTTGGCGAGATTCGTCTTGTCCGCATCCTTGCCGGAGTACCGATTGAACGTGTCAACAATGACCAGCAGAGCCTGCTCCAGTTTCGACATCGCGGTGTTGTGCTGCGTTGTTCGGTCACGTGGAAAAAAACATCGAAAGTAAATGTAAAACAACACGAAGCATCGGTTACACTTCTACACGTCTTTTGATATGAATTTTTCTAAACATGGCTTTTCTCAATGAATACTATGAGGCAGCGTCGAGATCTTCCACTGGCACGCCTTGGCTGAGAGCAGCATCCCTAAGGCTGAAGCGTGTGTTTTAGAATGGCTGCTTGCCACTCTCAATTAGAGCTACCTAATTAAATCTTGAGCCAGTCAACTCGCTTCCAAATAAACCTCCCTCCCATCCACCTCTCCCTCAATGCTGCTCAAAATGTATTTTGAAACGCATCTGAAGGCACTTAGTGCAGTAAAATAGAATACTAGATCGTAGTCGTCATAACCAGTCATGTCCATTTCACTGCTGGGTTAAACAACTGCAGTCATTTAAATTCAAAACATTAAAATCGCCTCGCTACGCGGAGTCTTGCGCATGAGGCCGAAGAGTTTTTTTTATTCCTCGTTCAGACAAATTTAAGTCTTACCAGACACCGCCACACTATGGATTGGCAGGGATGGTTTTTTTTAGTGCCTCTTTGCAGAAGTGCCTCCGCTTGTGATGCTGTGATGGGCTGACTTTTATATTCGCCAGGTCCTCTTCGTGCCGTACCCCGGTGTGACAATCCCTCTGCTGCAGGGCTCACAAAGGGGGACTTGCCGGCATGCACGTGCACTCAGCTGACCAGGGTCCAGCTGCACAAGTGCTAATGCTGTGGAGCCTGGTCAGCAATTGTGCAAAAACTGCCACAGATTTCGCGAGCGCTGAGCAACAGCCCTCTGGTCATCTCTGCCAAAGGGGCTTCAGTGGCGCGCGCGCGTGTGTATGTATGTGTGTGTGATTGTGTATTTGTATGTATGTTTTGTTTATGAGAGTGTGTGTGTGTTTATGGGGTGAGTAGAGAATTTTCCATACCTGGGCAGTGTGCTCTTGACCGGCTCCGGTTTGACAGCAGAGGTCTTGCTCCGAATCAGTCGAGCGGCAATATCTGTTCATCTGTTGCGTAACGCTGTGTGGAAGCTACCTGGTCTGTCGCTCCGCACTAAGCTTCAGGTCTTCTCGGCCACGGTCATTCCCTCCCTTCTCTACGCTTGTGAAACGTGGACCCCCCCCCCCCCCCTAATGTAGCATCTTCGCCGGTTAGAAACATTTAGGCTGGCCTGCCTACGTTCCATCCTGGGTTTAACCAGACTGGATTGTGTGAGGAGCTCACAAATCCTTGCAAAAACCTGGACAAGGTGAGCTCCTCCGGCAGGCAAGGCTGCGTTGGCTGGGTCATGTAGCCCGCATACCCAGCCACCGCATGCCGAAACAGCTTTTGTTCGGCTGGATCGAGGGGGCTAAACGGGCGCGTCACGGGCAAGAGAAGAGATGGAGTGATGTGGTACAGGAGGACGTGGAGCTGAGTGGACTTGCCGATGACTGGTACCAGCGGTGTCAAGATCGGCCTCTGTGGAGGAGGCTCGTGAAGGACGCTACTGGGCAGTTGGAGGTAGTCGCCCTTCAATAACAACGGAGGGCGGAGGAGCGACACTCAGAACAACGAGCGGAGCGCCGGGTGGCTAAAGCACAGCAGGTTGGCACAGTAAGGGGCACAGGAGGTGCATCAGCCAGTCATCTCAGTCAGTCGACCCGTGGCACCTGCTGGGTCTGCCCCGTGACCTCCTGCCAGCGGGCGTTCGACACTTCACGTGACCTTAAAGTGCACCCAGCCTGGCACAAGCGTCGTGGTGACGTCACCGCCACTTAGTGGCGAATGGCGGTTGTTGTGTTTAGAAGTTTGTGTGTGTGTTTAGGAGTTTGTGTGTGTGTGTTTAGGAGTTTGTGTGTGTGTGTGTGTTTAGGGGTTTGTGTGTGTGTGTTTAGGGGTTTGTGTGTGTGTTTAGGAGTTTGTGTGTGTGTTTAGGAGTTTGTGTGTGTGTGTGTTTAGGAGTGTGTTTGTGAGTTTGTGTGTGTGTGTTTAAGGCTAATGGTTACTCCGACTATACAATCCGCAAAGCTATCACTCAAACCATGAAGAAGGACCCTCTTGAGGAGCCTTTCAAAACCATCACTTTACCCTACATTGCGGGGATCACAAAAAAGATCTCCAAAATCTTGAATAAACACAAGATCCAGGTCCGTTTCAACACATTACATAAAATCCGTGATCTGGTTCCGTCTGTAAAAGATGTGATTCCGGACATACAATACCCTGGTGTCTACAAACTAAGTTGCCTCTGTGGTAGTAGTTACATTGGAGAAACCAAACGACATGTCTCGGACCGCATTCGTGAACACAAAGCAGACCTTAAACACGGTAGGACTAACACCTCGGCCGTGGCAGATCATTGTTATAATTCAGTAGGCTCACATGACATTGACTTTCCAAGACAGAGGTTCTTTGTAAGCCATCTGGCTACCATGAGAGATTCGTTCATGAGGCTATCCACATATACAAGCACAGAGACAATTTCAACCGAGAAGATGGATTCTATCTTAGCAATCATTGGAAAGATTTGATAAACCATTTCAGGTCTTAATTGATTGTTCACGCTTACAGTGGCTTTCAGACAGCATAAAAAATAAATAAAAAATTCGTCTCCCCCCTCCTCTTTTCAGAATATAGATGAACTAGTCCTAAATAAACTGCCAAATCGCTGCGCGTGGCGCTAACGGTTTTTTATTATAAATAAATAAATACACCGTTTAAAAATAAATTTATGCAAACCAACACACCTGAAGACGACCGTTTGTGTTATGGTCGAAACGTCGTGAGAATTTTTATTGTAATATATATTTTATTATTTTGTTGTTTCCCTTCAACGTGACTTTACCGAAAGAACTAAGAATATGAATTACTGCAGTCACGAAAGCTTTAAATCAGAGTTTGTGTGTGTTTAGGAGTTTGTGTGTGTTTAGGAGTTTGTGGGTGTATTTAGGAGTTTGTGTGTGTGTGTTTAGGAGTTTGTGTGTGTGTGTTTAGGAGTTTGTGTGTGTATGTGTGTTTAGGAGTTTGTGTGTGTGTTTAGGAGTTTGTGGGTGTGTGTTTAGGAGTTTGTGTGTGTGTGTTTAGGAGTTCGTGTGTGTGTTTTGGAGTTTGTGTGTGTGTTTAGGAGTTTGTGTGTGTGTTTAGGAGTTTGTGGGTGTGTGTTTAGGAGTTTGTGTGTGTGTGTGTGTTTAGGAGTTTGTGTGTGTGTTAAGGAGTTCGTGTGTGCGTGTTTAGGAGTTTGTGTGTGTTTGTTTAGGAGTTTGTGTGTGTGTGTTTAGGAGTTTGTGTGTGTTTAGGAGTTTGTGTGTGTGTGTTTAGGAATTTGTGTGGGTGTGTTTAGGAGTTTGTGTGTGTGTGTGTTTAGGAGTTTGTGTGTGTGTTTAGGAGTGTGTGGGTGTGTGTTTAGGAGTTTGTGTGTGTGTGTTTAGGAGTTCGTGTGTGTGTTTTGGAGTTTGTGTGTGTGTTTAGGAGTTTGTGTGTGTGTTTAGGAGTTTGTGGGTGTGTGTTTAGGAGTTTGTGTGTGTGTTTAGGAGTTTATGTGTGTGTGTTAAGGAGTTCGTGTGTGTGTGTGTTTAGGAGTTTGTGTGTGTGTGTTTAGGAGTTTGTGTGTGTGTGTGTGTTTAGGAGTTTGTGTGTGTTTAGGAGTTTGTGTGTGTGTGTTTAGGAATTTGTGTGGGTGTGTTTAGGAGTTTGTGTGTGTTTAGGAGTTTGTGTGTGTTTAGGAGTTTGTGTGTGTGTTTAGGAGTGTGTGTGTGTGAGTTTAGAAGTGTGTGTGTGTGTGTGTTTAGGAGTTTGTGTGTGTGTGTTTTTAGGAGTTTGTGTGTGTTTAGGAGTTTGTGTGTGTGTGTATAGGAGTTTGTGTGTGTGTTTAGGAGTTTGTGTGTGTGTGTGTGTTTAGAAGTTTGTGTGTGTGTTTAGGAGTTTGTGTGTGTGTGTTTAGGAGTTTGTGTGTGTGTGTGTGTTTAGGAGTTTGTGTGTGTGTGTTTAGGAGTTTGTGTGTGTGTTTAGGAGTTCGTGTGTGTGTTTAGGAGCTTGTGTGTGTGTGTGTTTAGGAGTTTGTGTGTGTGTTTAGGAGTTTGTGTGTGTGTGTTTAGGAGTTTGTGTGTATGTGTGTTTAGGAGTTTGTGTGTGTGTTTAGTAGTTCGTGTGTGTGTTTAGGAGTTTGTGTGTGTGTTTAGGAGTTTGTGTGTGTGTGTGTTTAGGAGTTCGTGTGTGTGTGTGTGTTTTGGAGTTTGTGTGTGTGTTTAGGAGTTTGTGTGTGTGTTTACGAGTTTGTGGGTGTGTGTTTAGGAGTTTGTGGGTGTGTGTTTAGGAGTTTGTGTGTGTGTGTGTTTAGGAGTTTATGTGTGTGTGTTAAGGAGTTCGTGTGTGTGTGTGTGTTTAGGAGTTTGTGTGTGTGTGTTTAGGAGTTTGTGTGTGTGTGTGTGTTTAGGAGTTTGTGTGTGTTTAGGAGTTTGTGTGTGTGTTTAGGAATTTGTGTGGGTGTGTTTAGGAGTTTGTGTGTGTGTTTTTAGGAGTTTGTGTGTGTGTTTAGGAGTTTGTGGGTGTGTGTTTAGGAGTTTGTGTGTGTGTGTTTAGGAGTTCGTGTGTGTGTTTTGGAGTTTGTGTGTGTGTTTAGGAGTTTGTGTGTGTGTTTAGGAGTTTGTGGGTGTGTGTTTAGGAGTTTGTGTGTGTGTTTAGGAGTTTATGTGTGTGTGTTAAGGAGTTCGTGTGTGTGTGTGTTTAGGAGTTTGTGTGTGTGTGTTTAGGAGGTTGTGTGTGTGTGTGTTTAGGAGTTTGTGTGTGTTTAGGAGTTTGTGTGTGTGTGTTTAGGAATTTGTGTGGGTGTGTTTAGGAGTTTGTGTGTGTTTAGGAGTTTGTGTGTGTTTAGGAGTTTGTGTGTGTGTTTAGGAGTGTGTGTGTGTGAGTTTAGAAGTGTGTGTGTGTTTAGGAGTTTGTGTGTGTGTGTGTTTTTAGGAGTTTGTGTGTGTTTAGGAGTTTGTGTGTGTGTGTATAGGAGTTTGTGTGTGTGTTTAGGAGTTTGTGTGTGTGTGTTTAGAAGTTTGTGTGTGTGTTTAGGAGTTTGTGTGTGTGTTTAGGAGTTTGTGTGTGTGTGTGTTTAGGAGTTTGTGTGTGTGTGTTTAGGAGTTTGTGTGTGTGTTTAGGAGTTCGTGTGTGTGTTTAGGAGCTTGTGTGTGTGTGTGTGTTTAGGAGTTTGTGTGTGTGTTTAGGAGTGTGTGTGTGTGTGTTTAGGAGTTTGTGTGTATGTGTGTTTAGGAGTTTGTGTGTGTGTTTAGTAGTTCGTGTGTGTGTTTAGGAGTTTGTGTGTGTGTTTAGGAGTTTGTGTGTGTGTGTGTTTAGGAGTTCGTGTGTGTGTGTTTTGGAGTTTGTGTGTGTGTTTAGGAGTTTGTGTGTGTGTTTACGAGTTTGTGGGTGTGTGTTTAGGAGTTTGTGTGTGTGTTTAGGAGTTTGTGTGTGTGTGTTAAGGAGTTCGTGTGTGTGTGTTTAGGAGTTTGTGTGTGTTTAGGAGTTTGTATGTGTGTGTTTATAAGTTTGTGTGTGTGTCTCGGAGTTTGTGTACAGGAGAGTTTGTGTGTATGGTTTGAACTATAATGACAGTGAGTGTGTATGAGTTTGTGCGTGTAGAAAAGGTTCACATTGTGCACGTTTTTCTATTGTTCTTATGTATCGATTTAAAGCTTTCGTGACTGCAAGGATTCATCTTCTTTGGTTCTTTCGGTAAAGTCACGTAGAATGAGAATAAAATAATAAATTGATAAAATAAAATAACACAATAAAATTATCACGACGTTTCGGCCACAACACAAGCGGCCTTCATCAGGTGAAGGGACGAGACTGTCAGCGTTGTCCTCCAGACAGTCTCGTCAATTCACCTGATGAAGGCCGCTTGTGTTGTGGCCGAAACGTCGTGAGAATTTTATTGTTATTTTATTTTATCAATTTATTATTTTATTCTCATTCTACGTGACTTTACCGAAATAACCAAAGAAGATGTTCTTATGTACTTGTATGTCTTTGGCTCTTGTTATTTGTTATAAGTGACTTGAATTGTCCTGATTTCTTTTACTGTTTTTATTGAAATTATTTATTGCCATGTTAATTGTTTTATTGTAATGTCTCTTAATTCTAATTGCTATCGATATATAAGGCTAACGATGTGTGCAACAATTCATCTGGCTTCCAATAAATTATATTGTTACTCTATCAAGGATCAGATCGTTTGATTAATTGAGTGGTGTCAGAAAAAAACCTAGAAATTGACATTTGTGGCTTTAGATAAATCTTTGACGGAAAAATATAAGTTAAAAAAATGCGTGAATGTTTAACTAAGATTTGCTAGATCGGCGTATGTTATGACGGGTACAGCTAGTTTATTATATTTCCTTTTTGTTATTAATGTTTAGTTAATTGGTTTTGTAATTTTCTATCATCGTTATTATGAAAGTTAATTGTACCTGTAATGTAATTTGTTTTGTTATAACAATTATTGTTATATCATGACTGTCACTGAAACGTGTTGTAATGGTTATTATTGTTTATTATTGGTGTTGTTGATAATGTTGTTATTGGTGTTGTTTATATTATTATTGGTGTTGTTTATATTATTATTGGTGTTGTTGATATTATTGGTGTTGTTGATAATGTTGTTATTGGTGTTGTTGATAATGTTGTTATTGGTGTTGTTGATAATGTTGTTATTGGTGTTATTATTATTGGTGTTGTTTATATTGTTATTATCGATGTTGTTGATGTTGTTATTGGTGTTGTTTATATTATTATTGGTGTTGTTGATATTATTGGTGTTGTTGATAATGTTGTTATTGGTGTTGTTGATAATGTTGTTATTGGTGTTATCATTATTGGTGTTGTTTATATTGTTATTATCGATGTTGTTGATGTTGTTATTGGTGTTGATATTATTATTGGTATTATTTATATTGTTATTATTGATGTTGATATTGTTGTTATTATTGATGTTGACACTTTTGTTATTATTGATGTTAATATTATTGGTGTTGTTTATGTTGTTGGTGATACTTTTGTTATTATTATTGGTGTTAATATTATTGGTGTTGTTTATGTTGTTATTATCTTTGTTGTTGATATTGTTGTTGATACTTTTGTTAATATTATTGGTGTTGTTTATATTATTATTGTGGCTCCTACTCTGGGCCGGGTGGCGGGGTCACGTGACGCCCCATTCGTTCGTACCGGGGCCGCGCGGTTTCGCGCTCCGCTCGCTCACCGAGACCGCAACACACAAACCCACACACACACACAAATAAACACAACAGACACATACAACAACAAAACACACACACACACACAAACCTCACCAGGTACACAACGCACAACACCCCCGGGCTCTCACGCGCGGCGGAGCAGAGAACATGACGCGCAGGAAGGTAAGGCGATTTGTTGGGCCTGGCCTCCTGCTTCGGTAGCAGCAACAACAATAACAACAATTAAACGGCAAAGGCAGCATTGCTCTTGTACACGCCGTGAGTGATGTAGGAGAGTAGCACTGCCCCTCGGACCCTCGTTGGGCAATTGGGACCGTCGCGGTGGCTGTTCTACATAAGAAAAGGCGAAGTAGGCCGCAGGAAAGCCTCGATCTTCCCTGGCGTTCCGGCCGCCCGAGCCGCGCCTCACCCGGCAGGGCGGCTATGCGAACACGGCGCCTCGCTCCGTATTGTTATAATGTAATTGTATAAAATAGCATTGTTATTTTCTGACCGCTGTTACGAGCGGTTGATTTTTTTTCTTTTTTAACTTTTTTTTACTCACACGAGCTTTGCTGTAGCAAATGCTGTTTCGTTGATACTGTGTTTTGTTTTATTTTCACGAGACGTGAGAGAGAGGGGAAAGGAAAAAAACCCACAAAAACAAAAGCACGAACCCGCAGGGACAGGAGGGCACCCCGAGAGGGCAAGGCAGCAGGGAGATTGACCGCCAGGGAGAGCGGGGGCACACAGGGCATTGGGTGGGTTGTGTGTGGGGAGTATTGGGACAGCAGACACTGTGTGGGCGATGCATCGCTGACTTAATATGCTGCCATGCTTCCGTAATGGGCAAGAAGGGCAGTGTAGCATAAAGCAAACATACATTGCCATGCAACTTGTACGTGGCCACGAGTTTTGATCCCCGCCTTCCATCAACTCGCACGTTGACCTTCGTGATGAAGTATGGTCATATGAAACCCCGCCAGCCACACACCCGCACGGCGTTCGGTAGAGCCCTCGTCGAGCAGTGTTTACATTTGCTGTGCGCAAGGTGGCGGTGGTGGTGGTGGCTGGACAGGCAGCAGCAGCAGCAGCAGTGGTGGTTAGAAAAGTTGGGGTGGTGATGCGTGGCTTCGGGCCTTCAATGTCCGAGGAGAAACAAATGAGGCTTGCTTTATATTCGCTTACTGTACTCGGGCGGTGAGAGACAATGGCAACCCGGTGCCGCCTTGCGTGCCGCGTGCCAGCTTTGTGGGATGCCACCTGTCGCATGTTCTTCACGGCTCGGCGCCGAAGTGCAAACACGTGTGTTGTTAGCGCTCGGCACGTGTGTGTTGTTAGCGCTTGGCACGTGTGTTGTTAGCGCTCGGCACGTGTGTTGTTAGCGCTCGGCACGTGCGTTGTTAGCGCTCGGCACGTGTGTGTGTTAGCGCTCGGCACTTGTTAGCGCTCGGCACGTGCGTTGTTAGCGCTCGGCACGTGTTGTTAGCGCTCGGCACGTGTGTGTGTTAGCGCTCGGCACGTGTTGTTAGCGCTCGGCACGTGCGTTGTTAGCGCTCGGCACGTGCGTTGTTAGCGCTCGGCACGTGCGTTGTTAGCGCTCGGCACGTGTTGTTAGCGCTCGGCACGTGTTGTTAGCGCTCGGCACGTGTTGTTAGCGCTCGGCACGTGTTGTTAGCGCTCGGCACGTGTTGTTAGCGCTCGGCACGTGTTGTTAGCGCTCGGCACGTGTGATTGACACTCGGGGCGCGCGTGCCTCCTTGTACTTCGTATTTACACCACTGTACCCGAACGCCTACTGTACTTCGCATTTACACCACAATGTAACTGTCCGTCTCCCAATTGGTTTGTTTCGTTGGTGTGACCCCAATGTAATCACCCCACGCATTAATCATTCGCAGCGCCTGGGTGTTAAGGACTCTTAACCGTCCCAGTAAAAAGCATGCAGGCGATGTTTTTTTTGTGTGTGCGCGCCCAACCTTGCGGTTGCCTCGTGTTGTTGTTTTTGTAGGTCGTTTGAAGTGTTTTTTTTTAACTGGTTCCCACACGCCCAGGCTTCGAGGTCACAAAGGCTTTGTCTTGCGCCGCCTGGTGGTGAAATTGGCGATTTGAGGCTGCACGTGATGTGTAACCTTGTCACGTTGTTGGGCACCTTTTAATTAAGCAACACACTCAAGTTAAATAAAAAAAATATTGATTGCGAAGAAAAAAGGCATGGGCAGGATGATGGTTGCTCGTCGAGAACAACAACAGTGTAGCAGCCATGGGGAGCCGTCCGAGAGCTCATCCATCACAGAGATGGATGGATTCTGATATCATCAGCTCATGATGCAGGTGCTCGATGGATTGTTGTACCGCAACACTTTGAGAGATGTTCAAACTTGTGGAAACTTAATCAGGTATTGCTTAGATCATGGCTGATGATGACGAATCGTTGCATGGTAATCAACACTTGCCAGCCGCTGAGCACTCACGGAATAGGTTTGGAAAGTAAGAGTGACTTCACTCCTGCTGTCCCGTCTCATTTTTGTGTAAATGACCCGTGGCTTCTTGGTGCACCGCAGCGCTCGGGGGAACACACGGTGGAGGAGCTGGAGTCGGCGGTGGAGCAAGGCACCTGGGAGAGTGACTTGCAGCCCCGGCGCACCTCCGCCCGTCTCACCCGCGCCGCCTCCATGCATGCAGACATCATCTTCCACTGCGGTACGGGAGGAGGGAGCAACTTTCGCGAACACGAGCAGTGAAACTGCAGGCACAGTCATTAAGTTAACCTCGTGTGACCATACGGTCAGTTGTAGCACTCTTACTACATCCGTTAAAGTAGTAGTGATAGGTTTTTACCCTTTTATCTGGCACCAAAACTGACACTTTTATACAAGGGATCATGTTTGCAATAACCACAACACAAGCAGTCAAAATGCAAACAAAAAGAGACAAATCTGATAATGATATGCACTGTCCTTGAAATTGATTGGTCCACACCCGAGACGGCTTTTCTTAGAGCCTAGTCTCCACTGGTGTTGGACCAGATGACGCCAAAAGACGGACAACTCAAAAACAGCGCACTATCAGAGTATTGAGAGCTCGGGGTAAGCATTTACACTATGAGACCTTTGCCAGCAACAAGATATAGTAATAGGTTTTTACCCTTTTAGCTGGCACAAAAACTGACACCTTTATACAAGGGATCATGTTTGCAATAACCACAACACAAGCAGTCAAATCAATCCAATGAAATGAGAGCGGCAAATACAATTCAGAGAAAATTATTGTGGTTAATTTCTTCAATGAGTTACATTTGCATTATCAGACGTATATGTAGTCAGGTATGAATGACCCTATTGAAGAAAGACAACGAATAAACCACATAGTCCTTATTTATGAAATACATACCTATGCTTGTTTCTCATGAGTTTCAAGTTGCGTTCCTTAAAAAAAGAGCAGTGTCATTGTAACGCTGTGATATTCATTTGCACGTATTTCCATTGTGAACAAATGTATCTGCTTTTACAATTACATACCCATATTGTAGATTCAAGCAATACAACTTTCACTTATTTGCTATTGGATTAAGGTCATGTTGGTGCAAGTGATTGAATAAGTGTTAAGAGTAAATGTTATTGTGTTTAAAGCAGAAGACTCTGCATACACGACACGGCGCTCAGTCCGCACCCAGCAGAATGGCACTCCTAAAAAATACCCTTTGAGAGGGACGCGCTCACTCTCTGAGTCAGATCTGCCTGCAGAGCCCCCTCCAGGTAAGAAATGTTTGTATGGCACTTATACCGCATCTATTAGGTATATAAGGTTTCACCTTACTATTCCCAATTTGATGAGTTGTCACAATGTGGTTATCGTTGGATTCAATAATTGATCATTTGTTTGAGTGTTTTAATTGTCGTTCTCATTTGCTGTGTCTTGTTTATTCCATCAGTCCAAAGAAAGCATTTGTCTATAATTTTCATAAATTTGAAATCCAATGATAGTGAAATTCCTCTTAGCTGTAGCAACATGAGGAGGCACTGTTTGTGGATTTGCAGCTTGTGTAGTACAAATTCCGCGTTAAGGCACAGCCAGAAACTGAGGCTGCGCACAGAGGGAGATCGCGCGAGATTGTGCAATCATCGGTGGAAACAATTTCATTATCCTCAACACCATCATCATCAAAATCATCAATCCATCATTAAACCACTTCAGCAGGTCATAGAGATAATAGATCCCACAGATCATAGATTATGGCCATGGATAATATTAGTCGCACATTATAAAATCGAGAATAAGAGGCGCTCCGATCTAATAAATTCACACAATTCAATCCACGTACCATGAGCGCAAGAATCAATTTTAGTCGATAAATTGATACGTGACTTCCACATGTTGTATTTTTGTTAGACTATGCATTACATTTCTAAATGCTAGACAAGCAGCTGTAATGCGTTGCACGTGCACAGAATTGAAAACTCCCGTGGAGAGGGAGCAAACGCCTCCGCGCACACCAGAGGAGATCGCTGGCCTCTCCGAGTCGGAGGTGGAGGCAGCGAGTCCTGGCCAGGACTTTGCAGACCGAGGCACGCCGTACCACGAGCTCACCGGCCATCTCACCAACCGGCCCAAGCGCAGGCGATACCACGAGAGCTACAACTTCAACTCCAAGTGTCCCACCCCGGGATGCGACTCCCTCGGTGAGGGTGTATTGAAGCTCAGCTGTACTTGCCATTGATTAGCCCTACGAGTGTAACAATTTGCACCCCACGCAATTCAATGAATTGTCATAATTCGGTCATCATTCGATTCAAGAATCTTTTTTTTTAATGGAGGCAATTTCAGCAGCTTCTATTGTTTGGAGCGGTTGCTTAAATTCATTAGTAACATATAAAATCCTTGATTATAATTAAATAATTATCACAAATGCATGTGTCATGAGCTTTATATAAATCGATGAATAGATCATTATCTTGCTCGAAAGGTTTTATTGTGATTCTAAAAGCATTAGCATGTGAGAGCAGTGTTTGCGGAGATAAGTATGATAGGTTATAATTAAAGACTACGTGGCATTGTGTTTGCTTTAGGTCACCTCACAGGGAAACATGAGCGACACTTCTCCATTTCAGGGTGTCCCCTGTACCACAACCTCTCTGCCGAAGAGTGCAAGGTGAGAACACGGGTCACATGTACCGGCTTTGCCCATTTTGCCACTTTACTGTTTAAACATTGTTTTCCGTAAGCAGAGTCTCAGTAGCATAAACGTTAAAACTATAAGATTTAAATGACATCAATGTGAAAAAAATAAGCAAACGTAATTTACAGCAAAAGGAATGTAACATTTATTCTGAGTAACTTAATAAGTTATATTGTAAAGGTCAATAATAGGGTTACACCCAGAAGGCTGGGTTTTGATTCTTGAAATGCCTTGATTCATGTAATGAAACTTGAACATGAAAGCAGATTTGAGCACATGCCTTGAACTCAGTATGACGATGTGAATCTCTCGCCTGCATTTTAACATGGGCTTAAGTACAACATTGCTCCGCTTCTTCGCACTTTTACCCCAACCCCATCCTAATATCTCAGGATTTAAGAGTACCTCTGATTGATTTTTACGTTGTGTGTAGTTGAGGGCTCAGCAACGTGAAAAGCAGGAGAGAACTCTAGCACACAAGCAACTGGAAAACAACCGCCACTTCACGAGGCAGCAGGTTAGCGGCCTTTTTAATCCAAACAATGAACACAGGCAACTACTAGCGGCTTTGGTTCTCAGGACCAGGGCAGTCTATACTGCTTGTGGTTGCTGTTGTAATTTATGACATGCTCACAAAGTAGTTCAAAAATTTAGATAATATTTACTGACCTATTTGCCAAACCAACTTATTCTCATGTTTACCTAACATTCTACCTCTGATTTGCTTTTACGTTCTTCAACACTGTTGGTACAAGTTAATGCCCTTAATATAAGGCAATTGCTGGTTATAATTCTTAAGTCGAAATGTTTGCTAATAAGGTGGTGCAATGCATGTATTTAGGCCTGTGTTTCCCGCACGTGTGAATGTGCTGAAGGTGTCAGGCCCCAGTGAGGGCGTGATGTGCGTAAGGTCGTTGTTAGCGTCAGGTGTTGACCGATTTGGTGTTGTGCTGTGTAGGCATCGCCAAGCAAGCAGCAGCGCTTCAAGGAGAAAGTAGTTGAGCTGCGCAAGCGTCGCTCAATTCCTCCGGCTGAGCAGAAGGAGAAAATAGTGGTAGGTATAGAATAGTGTTTGGTGTTGCTCCAAGTTGAGTTTAAACTTATCTTGTTGTGCTTGTGTATAGTAATAATTTGATCCCTGTGAGCACAATTTGTCGTGGGTTATTGGGTAAAAAATGCATGCAAGTAGTGTTTCAGTAACACGATTGAGTTGGATAATAGTATTGTAACAAACTGGGGTCTTTTCAGGAAAATCCACGAAGTCAAGAAAATAGCCGAGAACCCCTTTTGCAGGGCCTCACCTCGGACTACGACCTGGAACTGTTCCGCAAGGCCCAAGCACGGGCGTCGGATGACTTGGTACTGCACCACCTGACATTGGCACACCCAACCCCAGCACAGCCTGCTACACTTGTGCTGGGCCACTGTCTGTTTGCACGCCCTTTTCATTCGAGCCATGCATGGGAAACTGTGGCAGGGAAATGCCTCAAATGTGAATCCATAGTGCACGACTTGACCTGTGAAGGGAGTCTCTAACACGACTGGTAATCTCACCTTTCTCACGAAGAAACTGCTTGAGATTTCATAATAGATTTTTCAATAATATTAATGGTAGTGATGATCAAGTTCAATGCAATTCTATTGTCGATTAGAACAATAGAATTGCATTGGCTTATTTAAACAGACACACAAAGGGCCAGACTCTTATTTTTATTGTTATGCATTTGGATATATATGTGGCAAACTGAAAGATGTACTTTTTTATTGTTGTTTGCATGCAATTTAAAAAAAGCAAAAAAATATGAACACAAAGAAAACAGGGGACAAGTGCTTGTTTTCACCCTGCAGGGGAATGCCCTTCACAGATACAGAAACATCAGCTTGGAGTAGTATAGAAGCTAAACATATTCTCACGCTTTAAAGTTTTTTTTCCTCTTCACAGTTTTATGACGTTTGTCTTATGGGCCGTCCATAAATGACGTCACGCACCTGGGGGGGGGGGGGTCAGACACTTGTGACGACGTGTGACGAGGGAGGGGGTTGAGAAATGTGACGGCATATCAAAATGCGCAACTTTGAATAAATATAGACAACACGTTCTTCTGAATTAAATAGACTTTTTAATAAATGTTTTCTCCTACAAAATCAAGAGTGCATCGCCACATTAAATACGCACTACAATGACAATAGTTTAAAGCGATTTGAAGCATGTTTTATTATTATTTTTTCTGGGGGGGGGGGGCAGAGCTTTGTGACGTCATATTTGAGGGGGGGGTCTGACTTTTTGTGACGTCGTGTGACGAAAGGGGGGGGGGTAGGTCAAAAATCGTCCAAAATCGTGTGACGTCATTTATGGACGGCCTCTAAGTCCATCGCATTACGCTTCATTTTATTTATTTTGCAACTGCCAAGTCGTGCTTTTTTTTGATTGCCACCGTTTTGTAGATGCAATCATTAATTCCGTATGGTTTTTCCCCTTGCTATGTAATATGTTGCTTCATTTACTTTTCATTGGATACCCTTTGTGTGTGCACCCTCTGAACCAGTGGAATCTCAGCTTATGCTTACTCAGCAACCTTCACAATCCTTTCAGCATATTTATGCATTGACCTATGTCTGTTGTTAAATGCACTGTATTCTCAGATATGTATTAAATATAGTAAGATAATGAAAGTGGAGAGAATATGATTTCAGTTAAACAACTTGTTAGGGTAGCCTTCACGTAAGCGATTAATGAATGCAATTTTATTTTTTGCTGGACCATTGTGGAGTTTTCAGATTTTTCAAACATGCATAAAACATGTGTCTAGTTGATGATTTGTCAGTTTTGCAGTTAGTAATATTAGGCTAGAACTTCCTTTCTGGTTTGAAAAAACAATCCGTGGCTTGGACCATTTGGGCTCCATTTACAATATTTTCCCCATAAATAATAAACACACATGAAACAACAAAGCTTGCCGATGTGTTTATCAATGTATAAAATTCAACATGTGTTAGTTTACTTTAAGTCACTCTGTCCTCTTACACTTTGCCTCACTCCCTAACACCACTTCAGTCTTGTAGTATTAAGTGTAACTAAGAGTGGAGGTGCATTGGTTAAAATATCCTCAATTGTTGTTGTGCTGACCTTGATGACCCAGATGACTGTGCCTGTTCAGGAGAAGATGCGGCTAAAGGGTCACCTTACGGAGGGGACAAACATGATCAAGTCAATAATGTTTGGCCGCTACGAACTAGACACATGGTACCACTCGCCATACCCTGAAGAATATGCACGCCTGGGCCGGCTTTACGTGTGCGAGTTCTGCCTCAAATACATGAAGAGCCAGACCATTCTACGGAGGCACACGGTGGGTGCACGCAGCGGCGGTAGAGGCTGACTTAATGACCTTGCCAGTTCACATTTACACTTTTACAATTGCTGTGGTGGAGGTGTACTTGCACACCTTTCTAGTTATTTAATCATGGTGGCCTGTAACTTTGTGGTTGGTCTTTATGCACCATGTGATAAAGGTGAAAACCAGCATATGTATGTATCACCTTTTTTTAACGTTCATATGCATTACACGCGTTTTCCAAAGGGAGCATTATGAATGGTTGCTGTTGATTAGCCACAGATTTAAAGAATAGTCCTCAATGACTTGCATTGTCATCTTTGCTGTATTGTGCGGTGGCTGATTTTGCACTGCTAATGTTGCATGTCTGTGCTGTGCAGGAGAAGTGTGTATGGAAGCACCCCCCTGGAGATGAAATCTACAGGAAGGGAACCATTTCAGTGTTTGAGGTGGATGGCAAGAAGAATAAGGTAGCACTCCATTGCCCAACCATAGTATGAATGACCTATTAGCTACATTTATGTGCGATACAAAGTTGTGGACTTTTAAACAAGCGCAATTTTTATTATTAACGTTTTAATTACGGTTTGAGCCCTTGTATTTTCACTGAACTTGAGAGTGGCTGTCATCCCCATGTTTTATAGATCTACTGCCAAAATTTATGTCTCCTGGCCAAGCTTTTCCTCGACCACAAGACACTCTACTATGATGTGGAGCCCTTCCTTTTCTATGTAATGACGGAGGGTGACAACACAGGCTGCCACATCATAGGATACTTTTCAAAGGTCTCGCACACACTGTGGTTGCAATCCTCTGAACTTTTGTGAAATTAAATCAATTTTTATGAGTGTTTTTGGATTTAAGATTGCATTACAAAAGTTTTTCAACGACCCTTTTTTCGTGGTATGTTTGTGAACTAAACTTGTATATGACTTTTGCCCTTCTTCAGCAACTTCATTGCACTGATTTATCTTTTTTTCAGGAAAAAAACTCGTTCTTGAACTACAATGTGTCCTGCATCCTGACAATGCCACAGTTTATGAGGCAGGGCTATGGAAAAATGTTGATTGATTTCAGTAAGTACCTTTTTAAGTTGCCTTATTCGTTACGGTAAGTCCCCGCTCTGCGCGTGTTCACACAACGCGTTTTCGCTATAACCCGGGTTTTTAATTCGGAAAACAATGAGCACAGTGCGGAACGCGAGCAGTTATACAGTAAAACCTTGGATTGCGAGTAACTTGGTCTGCGAGTGTTTTGCAAGACGAGCAAAAATTTAAAATAAATATAAATTTGATAAACGAGCGAGGTCTTGCAAGATGAGTAGTACGTATACGCTTTGTCTGCCGAGCGTCACGTGATCACAACTGATATACGAGTGCTTTGATATACGAGTGCTTTGGATTACAAACACGTTTCCGGAACGAATTATGCTCGCAATCCAAGGTTTTACTGTAACATGGTTTCTGAGCGGTCGACGTTGAACTGCTTTCTTGAGCTGCGCAGCTGAGGGATATGATACAGTACGCGGAATGATACAGTACACAGCATACTTTAATCTCTGTTTTTTGTCCCACCATGGGATAACTGCAGGGTGATGTTATTGTGCAAATGTGATTCAAATTTGACATTTTTAATTGATGTATGCCCTTTAATGTATATGCAGTAATTACTCGCGCAACACATTTTCGTGTAACGCGGCACTTTTCAGGAACGCATCTATCTCGTTAAACGATGAATTGGTATGTTCGTTTTTTGGTCAATTTAGTGTTCAGTGTAATATTCTTAGCACCTACGTTTAACGTTGTCACCTCTGTTCCGGGTTCCGTCATGAAGAAGTTTAGTTCAGTGGTAGTTCCCCAGCTGAGTACTGTGTGGTGGTGGTTGCTGTGCAGGCTATCTGTTGTCCAAGGAGGAGAATAAGATCGGTTCACCTGAGAGGCCCCTTTCCGACTTGGGCCTCATCAGTTATCGAAGCTACTGGAAGGAGGTGCTGCTGCGATATCTCCACGCTTTCCAGGGCAAGGAGATCTCAATTAAAGGTGTGCCTGCTGCCACTTGTGCACATTTGCAGCAGTGCTTTTGCCGGTCGTGGTTGGGCCCGCACTTTAGGCTCTGTCGCTCGCTGCCCTGGACAAGACAACGCATGGTTACACACATCTCTGCTGTAAAATCTAATAATTTACATGTTGCAAGGCTGATGGGATGTTGACTACGAACTTATAATATGACATAATGGCTGACCGTTGACTCAATCAACATCGGATGAGTTGAAATGTCTAGCTTTATTATACTCTGTGATGAGAAACCTTTTTCATGTTAAATCTTCACTTAAAGCTTTCGTGACTGCAGGAATTCATATTCTTTGGGTCTTTCGGTAAAGTCGAATAGTTAGGTTCAAATTAAAACAAATAAAATAAACAAAAAACGATGACGTTTCGATCACAACACAAGCGATCGTCATCAGGAGGATGACGATTGCTTGTGTTGTGATCGAAATGTCGTAATTTTTTGTTTATTTAATTTTTCTTAATTTGAACCTATCTACGTGACTTTACCAAAATAACCAAATAATTATTTTTCATGTTGTTTCACGCTCGCTTAATTTTACCTTATTGACCCCGTTGTCTGTTCATGCATGATATAGATTGTCTTTTGCATTTGTATTTTAATATTTCACTCAAGATTTTGTTAACGCTGTTTATATACACGTGTGCACATTTTTTTTCGCTCCAGAAATTAGCCAGGACACGGCAGTGAACCCCGTGGACATTGTGAACACGTTACAAGCCCTGCAGATGCTCAAGTACTGGAAAGGAAAGCATCTTGTGCTCAAAAGACAGGTGCATGCCTTCAGCAGCCACTGGAAACTGCTGGCAGTTTCACGCATACACTGAATCCTCCTTGGGAAAGTTTAATGTTTGGATCTTCTTCAGATTTCCGATGCAGTTTTTTTTGGGTTGGACCAAGCGTTCAGCGTATGCTCGACGTCGCGCCCCACTTGTTGGGCGCTTCTTCAGGAACCAAATGGAAGCAAAAAAATGTCGACATCAATGCCAAGCAACGATGCACGGCTGCAGCACAACTGGCGAAGCATGCGGAGCGCGCGCGGCTTTTGTTCGTTACATTTTGCAGGTTTTCAGGAGAGAGAAAAAAAAAACCTATCGTGCTGCGAATACAAATAGAACCATAAAAAAAAAACCAGATGGGTGGAACCATGAGTTTGTTACTGTGAATGCCATTACATCTTCACGTACATGAACAACAGTGTATCTTAACAAGCAAGTTGAGGCTCGATTTAAATGCCCTTCCTAACTGGGAATTTGCTTAGCAATTTTGCTGCCAGTTTTTTTCTTGAAGTTTTTGAGGTTCATTGAAATGTAGGATTGACAAGTAACATACGAATCGGTTTAAAGCAACGGAGTTGTTGTTGGCTAATGAAGCAGAGAGAGTTTGCACGTACATTTTTTTTATTATTCATAAAATGCATTTTGTTGTTTTTGTTGCAGGATGTCATTGATGACTTTTTGGAAAAAGAAGCCTCAAAACCAGTCTCAAACAAAGTAATCGACCCTGCAAGTCTAAAATGGACACCTTCAAAGTGCAGCTAATTTATGTTTTTTTTACGCCAATGCATTGTAGTTTGAAATTATTTTACTTAGTTTTTAGTGGTGAGCATTTCAGATTGGTTTCTTAACAAGCATTCTTTTTTTACGCACAGTTGTATTTTTTAAGTTTAACGAATTGGTGATATGTATTCATACGGTTTGGGTAATATTGGTTGTGGTTTGTTTTAATTACATGCCTTGAAATATTTTCGTTTTTTTTGTTTACTTGAACTTATTAATGTTATTAATTTTTTTTTACAAGTATCCAACATGTATTATACTGTATTCCCTTGAAAAGTTAATGTTCCTTCTACCGAGGCTTTAAAAAAATTGGTCCATTGGCAGGTTCAGTTATTACTGTACTTTCACCTCAGAGACATTAACTGTCATAATGTTAGATGGAAACACTGACTGCATTCTGTGGATTGAAAACAGTGTTAAACTCTTGGTAAAAAATTGTCTGCAAAAAAACTAAGACCATTTTAATTTAAACGTTATCGTGCAAAACATGTCCGAGTCAAAAAATACCTATATTTAATAGCCTTTTTCAAAGGCTAATGTGGGACATAAAACTTGCCTTAAGTCACATTAATTCTTAAACATTTTTAACCAAATTACATGTGTTATGGTGATAAACCACAACTGCCAAACTTTAGAACACTGGTGTGCTGGCTGTAACATTTATTTTTTAAAATGTTTGTAAAGTTTGAAGACTGAAATTTAGGTGTAATAAATTTCTCCAGTTTAAAAGTGATAGCTGTTATTTGCGTAATCTGGACAGAACAAAGCACATCACTCAGGCATTGCAAAGTGGTTTGGCAAATGTTGAGTTGTGTGAGCCAGTATTGATGTCTGGTGTTCGGAACTGGCATCTTTAATCTCTTGCATTAAACATTGAGTGGACAAACACACGCTGTCAAGTCCCATGCATACGTTTTATGTGGAGTAGAGAGAAAAAAACGTGTAGATTTGAAGTGTACATAAGGCAGTTCCTCTGTATTTAAATTATAAGTGTATTTTTCAGGCAGCTATGAAATATTGTGGGTTGCTGTGTAGCGCTTACACAAAAATAAAATCCTCGCGTTCTTTTTTTGTCGTTGCAAAATGCAGAGAAGCAGCTGCTTTATGCATACTTCCTTGACTAACAAATCAGGACGGTGACTCACTGTCAAAATGAAATACTACTTCACAAACGCACAGACAGGAAACAATGTAACACTGCCTTCCCATGGCAGAGACAGAATGCGTTTGCCGTTAAGGATTCTACAGCTGTAAACTCGCCCAAGCATCAAAATGAGTGACCTCGACAGTAGGGCAAGCATTAAAACAGTTGCCAAGCAGGTTTTTTTCATCAAATTTTTTTCTATGGAAAAGACCTTGTATTCAGCTGCTATATATATCCGATATATTCGCAGGTTGTACTCTGTGTTGTTTGGCATGAAATCTGAAACTTTGCTGCACGTGCTGGGAGCTTCTACAGGAACGCCTGAAGAAAAATCTTCCAGCACATGGAGCGAAGCATCGGACATCGTACCAAGCGACGCACGACACCACCTGGAAATGCATTGGAGAGTAACAAGCAACACCCTGATAAAATACACAGTCGTATTGAACTACTGCAGTTGGTTACTTTAAATATGGAACAGCTCATCACTCGTTCTGTTTTGAATATGATCCCGGGATGTGTGCCGTTGTCTTACAAGGAACACTACACGTCTACCAAACCATGAGCTTCATAGCTCATCGGATTCCTCCAAACTAAATAAAGATTCTGATTGTTCGATGTGTTTTATGGTTATATCGTGTTTGGCGTGATGTCCAAAATGCTCCACGTGCTGGGAACTTCATAAGCGTCGAACATCATGCCGAATTAAAATCGGTACAACCTGAAAACACATTGGCGTTCTGTACAGCACAAACACGAAAACCTACGCGGAAGTCCTACCATGGATGTTTGCCATGTCCTGCACTTGTACATCACTGATTATATGATCTGCTACCTTACTGTATAAAGCAATGCCACTTGGTGAAGGAGATTAAAGGACACTTCATGACAATTGCATTGGTTTAGTTTGGAGAAATATCAACCAGTGGTCTGTTGTGATTTGTTTTGCACGCATACATATTCGGAGGGTGGAAAACTTTTTTTATTTGCATTAACAGACATGCAAAGATTGAAAGTTTTCATAAACCATTACACTGTCAGGCGATGCAATTAAATTGGGTGACGATATAAAAGAAAAACGCCAATCACTGCTTTTGCAATGACTGCTAAAAACAGCAGCAACCTTGCTGTATTGAACCAGTGTAGACTGCGGTAAATAGTAAATGGGCTGTAATATCGGCATTACCTGATGAGACATGGCGGGTGGCTGAACAGCTGTTGCCTGCATCTGTTGCTTGTGATGCCATGGCCCCAAGGCCACCTTGTATGCCACCCAAGGGAGAATCCCTTGTGCGCCAGGCCTTGCCCAACTCGATGATAGACGAGGGACAATGTATGCCCATTTACACTGCTTTGTGCATGGGATTATGCAAAGGTGTGTTGGACTTCAGATTGTACTAAATGTGCATTGTACAATAAGAAAGTTAACCTCTATTAGAATTAACTGGACGTATGGTTTATCATCCTATGGTATGTTTTAGCTTTTTTGTTGTATAATGCTTGTTTTATTTAAATGCCATGACATAGAGCTGCATAACAACCTTATGGGTTAGCGATGATGGTGGCTGCCCAAGTCACAAAGCCGCGAGTGCTTAAAGTTTTGTGAATGTCAGAAAACGTAACAGTTTTTTTTACCCAATTTTACAGATACGTCAATGCATGATTATGCTGGCAAACCCACATACACACGAATCACATGACAGTAAATAACAGAGTTATGTCATGAATATTACTTTCAAGGGATTCAACATTCTTTGTTTAGGCTGTGCCTGCATTAAACAATGATTAATCCACATGCGCGACTTGAGCGCTCAGTCCTTCATTATTTTTGATTACCTGGTGACTGAATTATCCATCTGATAGTTTTCACACACTGATAGGAGGTAAGCATGGTGACACAGTGGTAAAACTTGTGCCTCAGCAAGAAGGACCTGAGTTTGATTCCCAACTTTCTGTGTGGAGTTTGTGTGGTCTCTCCTGTTCGGAAAGGGATTCTTCTCGGTTATCCAATGCTATTTACTAGTCTTTATTCTCATACAGTGCCGAGAAAACGTTTATATACATCGCATGGAAATTACTCAATTTGGATTACTGAGTAACGTAGCCACCTAATCCAAAAGCGTGGCAAGGCCTTTCGAAAAGGAGTTAAGTGAAGCCTGCATCGGTAAATAAGCACAAAAAGAAAGTGATGCAGCTTGTCAATAATGATATGTATTAAGTTGTGCAGCCCATCGACATTGTAACTGTAAAGTTTAACCACAACTTGTGGTTTCCTCATACGAAGAAGTGTGGTGCTTCGCGGTGTAAAATGTCACTCGCTGTTGTTCCCCCGAATATTCGACTGCTAATGAACTTTAATGTAAATATGTTCGCTTCCAAAGCGAGTGTCGGACGGATGTTATTGATGAAGCTTTAAGTTGGAAACGCTGACGACGAATTGATTCCAAATGTAAAAGTGTTCAATTATTTCAAACATCGTACATTAAAGTATCGTTACGTGCATTCTGCATCTGGTGTCCATTATTCTGCGCGTTGTACGAGAGAAAAATCTCACAACGTTTGCTATTCTTGGCACGGAGTTAAATGTGTTCTGATGGTCCGCATGATGTACACGGGTGGCCTTTCCACTTCCCAAGAGGGGAGCAAGACAATCACGTATGCTGGCTGGCAGTAACGAAATCTCGAGATATGAAAAAGCGAATCGGTTGGTTGTTGCGTTGACAAGTCTCGATTCACTTGGGCAGCACTGTGTTACAAAGTTGCCCTTATGTGCTTCATGAATTAAACGCAATTTTTGTTTTTATCAGATTGTCTCTTTCCCAATTCTTAACGCTGGCCAGTTGTCCCTGTGCTGAGCTGGGCAATTTTTGCTCTTGAGATTTTTCCAGTGCTGAGAAAACAGTTTGTGAACCCCTTAGGAGTTTCACGTAATTTACACATTTCAAACCTAAAATGTTATTAGATCTTAATATAAGTCCTAATACATAATAGATAAAGATAACATGATTAAACAAATGACATCGAAAACATGATACTCCTCCTAGGACAGAAGCTGTAATATTTATGAAAAAATGTTGCAGTTATAATTGTATATTGTGTAAATTTAATGGCAGTGAATTTTGCACAAAAGTCATCAAACACTTCACTGCAGTTCGCTGTAGCACTTTATTGATGGCAGTGAATCTGGCACAAAACGAAGTCATAAAACACTAAACTGAATTTTGCTGTAGCACTATATATAACTGACATTGAATTTGTTGAAATTCACTGCTCTGATACTTTATTCTCTTCTGCTTTCGGTCGCTGTGGTTGAAATGAATTGGAATTCGATACAATATCTGGAAAATCAACGATAAATGTCTATTTTACCATAATGTAGAAGCATAAATTAGACTTACCTTTTACCTAATTATTTAAACACCTGATTCTAATTATTCTCTTAATTGGCATAATGAAACCAGGGGTTCACTTACTTTTTCACATACTCTGAACCTTAATTACTCATTGTTTGTTTGATTCATACATCATTTTCTTTAAAAAGACATGGATTTGGTTAATATAAACCCTATTGGATAATTAAGAAAAGACCGGTTTTGATTCTAGAATACTCTCATGGTACAGCTATGGAATTTTCATGATCGTCATTCGGGTTCATAAACGTTTTCTCAGGCACTGCATGAGAATAATGAATAGTAAATAGCATTGTTTTGGGAGCAGTGATGCAGTGGTTAGTGCACTGCACTCTGAACCCTGTTGCAGATGTTGATTCTCAGTCAAGGCAAACATCAAAGCTCTTAAATTTTGATTTAAAGCTGTCGTGACTGCAGTAATTCATATTCTTAGTTCTTTCGGTAAAGTCACGTTGAAGGGAAACAACAAAATAATAAAATATATATAAATCAATAAAAAAAATCTCACGACGTTTCGACCATAACACAAACGGTCGTCTTCAGGTGTGTTGGTTTGCATAAATTTATTTTTAAACGGTGTAATTATTTATTTATTTAAAAAAAACCGTTAGCGCCACGTGCAGCGATTTGGCAGTTTATTTAGGACTAGTCCATCTATATTCTGAAAAGAGGAGGGGGGAGACGAAAAAAATTTCGTCTGGTCGAAACGTCGTGAGAATTTTTATTGTTTTATATATTTTATTATTTTGTTGTTTCCCTTCAACGTGACTTTACCGAAAGAACTAAGAATAGCAAAGCTCTTCTTTGGTTCTTTCGGTAAAGTCACGTAGAATGACAATAAAATAATAAATTCATAAAATAACACAATAAAATTCTCACGACGTTTCGGCCACAACACAAGCGGCCTTCATCAGGTGAAGGGACGAGACTGTCTGGAGGACAGAAGGCCGCTTGTGTTGTGGCCGAAACGTCGTGAGAATTTTATTGTGTTATTTTATTTTATCAATTTCTTATTTTATTCTCATTCTACGTGACTTTACCGAAAGAACCAAAGAAGATGAATCCTTGCAGTCACGAAAGCTTTAAATCGAAAATCAAAGATCTTGCCCCACATCTGTCCTCGTTCGATCGTCATCGAGTTCACCCAACCTCAAGACACCTCCATGCAGGAGTTGCAAAACCATCTCGCCCGCGTCGTCCTCGGCGCATGTCACGCAGCTTTCAAGGCCGTCCAACCGTCTCTCTTGATTCTCTTCTTCCTTTCCCCTGTGGGCCCTGCTCCACACGCAGCTCACGGTGGGATTTCTCCGCAGCAGTGCCACTCACCAAGGACCCAGGGGCCGTCAGTGCCAGGCGGCGTTTGTGCGCGTGGCATCAGCCACCACCGTCTGGAGAGCCATCTCGCCGCACATTCACTGCGGCGGCATTCAATCTACACCACCTCTTTCTTAAAGGTCACCTATTTTTTTTGTTATAAATGTCTACCTCTATCGTCTTGTCTTTTCTGTGAAAAAGAGCTTGATAGCTCATCGGATTCCTCCAGTACGAATACAGATTCGGAGTCTGGCTTTCCCGTGACGCTGTCGGTTCCGTGCTTCCGAGTAAATCATTTGTGTCCGTGAAATGTGTGCTTTATAAATTGCATTTATTGTTATTCTGACTTGCTTGCTACACGTTCTCTTCTGGACTTCTGCGTTGCTTAATCCTGTCGTGCCAAGAAACTCTCAGCATCCGTCTCAGACACCTTCAAGTGCGTAGTTGATATGAATGAAATATCATTTCAATTTGCCACTGCAGTAAACCTATAAAATAAATAGCGCTGCCCACGCATTATAACGTAATCATTATGTATACGCATGATTATGTTATCCGATTAGCCAATCATTCACACGAAATGTGAGTTTTTATTATTTTTTTCTATCTCCGTGACTTTACCGAAAAAAACAAAGAATATTCACATCATTGTTTTTTTCGGTAAAGTCACGTATGTAGAAATACAATAAAATTATATTAAAACAAAAACAATCACGACGTTTCGATCACAATGCAAGCGATCTTCATCAGGTGTCAAGAACAAATCACGGAGGTTAATACAACAAAAAGATGAGAGAAGAGAATTCAACAAACCTGAAAAAACATTATGTGAAGCACATCCAGTCAGGCCAACAACACAGTTAGACACTTCCTGGCGGACCACGAATTTCAGAAGAGTGTTAAATTTCGTGTTAAACACTCTTCTGAAATTCGTGGTCCGCCAGGAAGTGTCTAACTGTGTTGTTGGCCTGACTGGATGTGCTTCACATAATGGTTTTTTTCAGGTTTGTTGAATTTTCGTCTCTCATCTTTTTGTTCTTGACACCTGATGAAGATCGCTTGCATTGTGATCGAAACGTCGTGATTGTTTTAACATAATTTTATTGTATTTCTACATACGTGACTTTACCGAAAAAACCAATGAGTATTTTTATGCAGTCACGAAAGCTTTAATACTTTATTAATATTCACATCGATGTCAACCCATACGGTTTACCCCGTATTCTTGTACAGGGAAACTGAGTTTTCAGCTCCTTACGACGGACAGCCGTTTCAATGGGGGCAACACAATTTTGTGTGTATTTGTTTGTGTTTCTCCCTTGTGATGGGACTTTGTAGGATGAGCGTTGATATTCATAAGGGTACGGGGTGACCAATACGGCCTGAATTGGTCTGTAGTAAGTTAGGGCACTGATAAGGGGTTGATAGGTATAGTAGTGGTGAGTGTACTCGTGGTGAGTATAGAGTGGTGAGCAAACTAGTGGTGAGTGTACTAGTGGTGAGTGTAGAGTGGTGAGTGTACTAGTGGTGAGTGTACAAGTGGTGAGTGTATAGTGGTAAGTGTACTAGTGGTGAGTGTACAAGTGGTGAGTGTAGAGTGGTGAGTGTACTAGTGGTGAGTGTACTAGTGATGAGTGTGCTAGTGGTGAGTGTAGTGGTGAGTGTACTAGTGGTGAGTGTACTAGTGGTGAGTGTAGTAGTGGCGAGTGTACTAGTGGTGAGTGTAGAGTGGTGAGTGTAGAGTGGTGAGTGTACTAGTGGTGAGTGTACAAGTGATGAGTGTACTAGTGGTGAGTGTACTAGTGGTGAGTGTAGAGTGGTGAGTGTAAAAGTGGTGAGTGTACTAGTGGTGAGTGTACTAGTGGTGACTGTACAAGTGATGAGTGTACTAGTGGTGAGTGTACTAGTGGTGAGTGTACAAGTGATGAGTGTACTAGTGGTGAGTGTACTAGTGGTGAGTGTACTAGTGGTGAGTGTAGAGTGGTGAGTGTACTCGTGGTGAGTGTACAAGTGATGAGTGTACTAGTGGTGAGTGTACTAGTGGTGAGTGTACTAGTGGTGAGTGTACTAGTGGTGAGTGTACAAGTGATGAGTGTACTAGTGGCGAGTGTACAAGTTATGAGTGTATAGTGGTGAGTGTACTAGTGGTGAGTGTAGTGGTGAGTTTTCTAGTGGTGAGTGTAGTGGTGAGTGTACTAGTAGTGAGTGTACTAGTGGTGAGTGTAGTGGTGAGTGTACTAGTGGTGAGTGTACTAGTGGTGAGTGTACTAGTGGTCATTGTCTATTTGTTTTGTGTTTCTCCCTTGTGATGGGACTTTGTAGGATGAACATTGACATTTATAACGGCACGGGGCGCCCTATAACGTCTGAATTGGTCTGTAATAAGGTATGACACTGATACGGGGTTGACTGCTGTCCCGATGCGTGGAATATTTGCTGGTTTATTCCAGGATGTTTCTGTTACGCGTTGTCGCTTTTTAGATGGTCTGTGTTCAAAATTTGTTTGCTGCGGTTGCACCCGACTTAAGAGCCGAATATTGATATTCATACCTAATAAATGAAACTTTAAACTTGAAACCGCCACGTATCGCGGTTATATGGGTAACTGCGCGGTTATTCGGGTAACTGAGCGGGCGGTTAATAGCCCCGCCCCTTCTCGCGCTGGCCCCTCCCCCTTCCCCCGCCCCCTCTTTCTGCCCTCGACCCCCCCACTCCCCCAGTGAAATGCGCGGGAAGCCGCGAGCGTCGTCTCCGCGCAGCCCAGAGAAGTCGAGCGTCGATCGGTCGCTCCGATCCGCCTTGGTCTCCTCGCATCGGCGCTCGGCGCGCGGCTGCTCTGGCCTGGGCCCTGGGCCCTGGTTATCGTCACCACTCCCCCCCGCCCGCCTGCGAGAGAGGCTTGAAGTGAAAATGGCGGGTAAGTGCAAGCTCGACGTCTCCCGCGCCTTTTCTCTCTGTCTCTCTCTCTGTCTCTCCCACCCGCTTCATCTCTAACCTCGTTGTCTCTCCGCCGTCTCATCTCCGCTGTCTTCTCGCGTGAACCTGAGGCGGCTGCGGGAGACGGTTGGGCGGGGGAAGGGCGGACGGGAAGGCTCGACGCGGTGGGCGAGAGAGGCCCTGCGCGTCGTGGGACTTGGGCCCCGCGGAGTCCCTGCCTAGGGATTGAAGGGGCAAGGGGAGACGAGTATAGAAGTTGGGGTTAATGTTAGGGTTGGAGTGAGGAACGAGGGATCGTGACTCTGGGAGTGGGGCTAGGAACTAAGCGAAGGGTTGAGATGGTCTGCTGTGTTGGGTTAGAGTTCAAAGAGGTCCCAAGTGTTTTCCTGCCCAATTCAGCGTTGTGGCATCGGTGCTTGGCTCCTGTTTACAGTGCCGAGATAGCGGTGGGGGTAATGCCACGTTCTTACGGCAGACGGAGGCGAAGAACCAGTTCATCCATGGAACAACCGCTCGACTTCTCCAGAGTGGTAGGAGATTTTATCGGCCCCCCCGGGAGGGATTGTGGGCCGAGTCAAGTCCCATCAGGATCTGAAATGGGCAACCTTCCTATCACTAGTCGCTTACTCTAACCCTAAACATAACGGCCAGGTGTACTTCGGGTTATAGATGCCGTGAAGGTTTAGGCATCAAGTTCAAGTGTTTTTTGTTTAACCAGGTGAGCACTAAAGAGGCCAGGAAAGAATCATTGTTGTGGCCCAGGTTAAAAACAAACTAAAGCAACCGTGCAAACAGATATAAGTGCAAATAAAGGTTTAGGGATGGGGTTTAAGGTTTTAGTCACTGCTTTTATGGGTGAGGTTAGCATAAGATTATTGGATGCGGTCAGGCGAGAAGGTTGTTATGTTTAGGGTGGATATTAGGGGTACAGCAATGTTTCTGGATGAGGTGGCGGTTAGGGGTGAGTTTAGATTTGTGTTTGGTTAGGGATGAAGTGAGGTTTAGTTATAGACTAGGGAAGATGTTGTGATTGTGTGAGGATTATATATGGGGTTAGTTTAATTTAATCCAAGGTATGAGGTTTAGGTGAGAGACGGTCAGGGATGGGGTATAGTTTCAGCATATGTATATAGCTATGGGTGAAGATAGTTTTTGCAATGTGTCTAGGAACTGGGGGTACAGTGTTGTTAGTGATGTGGTTATTGTACCATGTGAAAGTTTTGCTTTGTCTTTGTTTTGTGCTCTAGGTTTAAGTCAAATGCAAGCAAAGTTGGCTGCATATAAATCGGACACAAACGAAGCCATCTCACTAAAACTAGGTAAAGTAATGTGTAAACTCTTACCATATCCAGTAGACTCTCGATTATACGTGCTAATGACAGGGAGGACGGACGCGAAGGATCCTAAAATATACATTTTCTGTGGATCTCTATGCCAAAACCCGCTAATATAGGTATAAATTATGTTCGGTTTAAGCACTTGACCTGCAGTAAAAATTTCCAAAAATAATGGATACCTGTCAACCCCTTATCAGTGCCTATCTTATTACAGACCAATTCAGACCTTATTGGTCACAGTGTGCCCCTTATAAATCTCAACGTCCATCCTACAAGTCCCGTCAAAAGGGAGAAACGCAAACAAATAGACAAAAAAAATGTTGCCGGTATTGGACCACCTGTACGCCGTATGGACCTGAAAACTAATTTTACCTGTACAAGACTACAGGTAAAACGTATTATGGGTTGACAGGTATGATAATGTATAACTGATTATTAATCTGGGTTTAAGGGAAAATCCATCGGTTATTAATTTGTCAATCTCAGTGTGCGCAGTTAATCCGCAAATGGGTTTAAACCGCACGCGGATAATCGAGAGTCTACTATACATCTGTTGAAATATTGCGTGGCACTGAGGGGGGGGAAAAAAACCTATTTCGCTACCGTGTGCAGCATTGGATTACCTGGCATGAATTTCACATGCGTGTGTAACTCATTCAACTGTTGCTATTAATCCACAGTGATGTTACGTGTAGGGCTTGACTTGTTGCTGTTGTTATGTCCCAATGTACAGTGTGGTTTGTGTGTTTGCAGTGAGAAACCTGGAGGATCTAGAGGACGATGAAACAACATTTAAGCCGGAGTATAGCCACCAAGTTTTTGATGACAAGTACGTCGGGCACAGCTCAATTATTATCCTGTGAAATGTGCTTTGGAGTTAGTATGCTTAGTATGTGGTTGATCAAGAAAATGGACACAGTGAAGTGTAAAACTTAACAAATATGGCCACATTTTTCGTTTGACAAAACTGCCAAAACATTTGGCCTTGGCAATTTGCCCCGTTGGTTGAATGGGAGATGTAAGCAAATGGGACATGCTCCAATGCTTGAATTAAGCCGATAGCTTAAAAATATGGTGACTATTCTAGACTGCTTTATTTTACATATAATATTTTAGGATTGAATAGTTATATCCCAGACTTGTTTTATTTGGCAATGTTGTGGAATACCAAATGCTTTGTTGGTGGTGTGTGACGCTGTGATGGCCATGTATCGTGGCAGTGAGACGGTGTTTGGATACCAGGGGTTGCAAATCCAGCTCTACTACAGTGCGTGTCGCCTCACCACCCTGCTGAACATCAAGTACACCTCTCGAGTGGATGAAGCGTTCCACGGCCTGGAGGTGAAGTAGCTCTTCCTTTTTTGATAAATTAAAGTTGTTTTTTTATCGTGTACACATTCAAACAAATTCTCAGCTCGGCACTATCGGGTTCCATTCAGAAATGTAATTTAGGAGATTTGCAAAAGCTTCTGTTCACATTATGCCTTGTTGTAAATGTTATATGTAGAAGGAAAATTAAATTAACACATTCATATACCACAACACAGCCACAAAGGCCTTTGTCTACACTTATTTAAAAATAAAACTTACGCAAGCTTTTACGCTATTTTTTTTTTTTAATTAAATGATAGGGCGGTGATGAGAGCTAGCGGTAGCGTGTTCACTACTAGTTGCAGAGATTCGCGTTTGAAATTTAACAGACGACCTTGATTATTACTGAAGATGTTATAAATATTTAAATGTGCCATTTGCTTGATGGGCATAAAAAAAATGTCTGACATTCGCAAGAATAAGCCGTTGTGTGTTTGTGTCGGGGTCCAAATTTGTCAAATTTGAATATTACACCACAGATTACTCAATTGGTATTGTACATAGCAAGCATCAGTCCCTACTGCCACAGGTCGGTTATTAATGTGCAATTATACACTGAAATGTTACTCTGTGTTAATTACTTTACTAATTTTGTTTCAATGGTGGATACTTTATAAATGTTGCTTTTTTTGGCTCATTTTGTAATTGCAAATTAGATGAAATTTCTTGATTTGTCTATAAATACAACAGAACATTGATCTTAAGTTCCTGTTTTTACAAATAAATCCTCTTTGCCACAATATTTTCTGCTCTAAGAGTTTTACACTTCTAAAATTTAACTTAACTGGTCCCGAGGAAAGTGTTAGAGATATTACTCTTTAGGACTTGATCATCTGCATTACAAGTACAGTATACCAAAGCAAAACACTAAATGTACAATGTGCTGTGTTCCCCTTTCAGGCAGATGACATCGATGCGAAGCTGCGCAAGTACGTTCCACCAGGATGCTGTTCCAACGTGGATGACTTTGTTTCACTGCTCGAGAAAGATGCCTCGTTCAAACCGTTTGGGGAGCTTCTGCACACGTACACCGTGCCAAGCCAGGAGACGGGCGGAGACATCACCTACCAGATCTACAAGGTGAGCCAGCGCTTCCTGTGCGTATAACCCTGGATCTACACTTAACATCATATTGACTATGTTTGAGAATCCTTGCATGGCTCTACCAGTGGAATTTACGAGTGGTGCAGATATAATGGGAAGATGATGGATTTTGATTTAAAGCTTTCGTGATTGCAGGGATTCATATTCTTGGTTCTTTCGGTAAAGTCACATAGAAGGGAAACAATATGTTTTATTATTTTATTGTTTCCCTTCTACGTGACTTTACCGAAATAACCAAGAATAAGATGATGGATGTCTAGGTGTGGTCAGTGGATGGGTTCCTGCTGTCAATTGTATGTGCTGATGCATTTGTCATTCATGATCGCTTTGAGAAGTTGGGAGACTTTGGAGCTTTACTAACCTGTATTAATGTTTGCATATTATTTGCATACATTGTAATGGATTTATTCACACAGTTTGATGGATATGTGGGAAGCATACTCATTATTTTAACCAATGAATAGATTGATAATTACATCCTAAATTATCTTCACCTTATATGTGACTTGCATAATAGTGCTAGATTTTGGTGACAGTAAACGCCAGGCATTGAGAACCACTATCTCTTCTCACAGGCTGATATGACAAATTCAGGTTTCAAAGAGTTCCATTCCAGGCTTCAAACCTTCCTCATCTGGTTCATTGAGACTGCAAGCTTCATTGATGTGGATGATGAGAGGTGGAACTATTTCCTGCTGTAAGTACTGGCTCTAACTAAAAAGGAACGCATGATCGATGACACTGTACAGCATCTCGGCTTATCAAATTATGTAAACAAATTCCAAATAGTCATGACGGCTTTCTGTATTTGTAAAATTTGTGTTTATTAAAAAAAATTGTGAAATGGATGCCACTTTTTTAATAGGTGAAATACTGAAGTGGATTTGTTATTTTTATGTTTTTCAAATAACGTTGAGTATTTGTGCATTAGCTCTGTTCATAATGGTAGGGATAACCCTCGCAAAGATGATCCTATATCACCAAACTGTCATAGAAGTTTGCGTTGCTGCTGTTCACTTACCCTGTACAAAATCTGCCAAATTAATCAAAGGGCTGCCCAACCCTTCGAGACTATTTCTGTTTTCAACTATGCAATGACACTTTTCCCTGACAAATACCGATCAGCTTCCCTACTTCTAATTTAATACTTCCAAAAGCAAACGGAAGGTGTTACATAATCCATGCGTATTGCATGATTTATCCTAACTTGTTTGATAAGTCATAACATAAGTAAACTATGATGTCTTCACTGCCAGTTCATCCTGCATGTCTTGGATCAGTCGTATAGTCATAGCGTACGACACATTTGGCTCTGGTACTGGAGGAACAGCTGCATCACGCTCGAGTGCCAGGACCAAAACATTGACAAAGCGTGCGTTTGTAGTGATGTCTGGCATAGTGCTCCTTGTCCAAGTTACAGTCTGCAAAGCTGTTTTATTTCGACATTGAGACACTTCTATAAGATAGAGTTGAAGTTTCAGAGATGCGCCCTTTCATCTAGCTTTACAGTGGTAATGAATACAACTTTGAAATTATAAATATGGTTTTCTTATTTATATATGAACTTGAAAGTGTCGAGAGGACACCATATTGTATGTGGTGAGTGTGAGTCTTTTATCATGTTATGACGAATTTGGCATGTTATGATTTTAAATATTAAATTATAGTTATAGAATCTTTGGTCGTAAAGTTTACATTTCTAATAAACATGCACAGCACATATCTACTGCCTCCTTAAGGAAAGGCTGAATAATAACGACACTAGTGTGCTAAAAGAGTGCGCGTGCTGTATTGTGTAAGTGTAGATGATGGTGCTTATCCATTACACAGATACGAGAAGTACATGCAGGATGGCTCTCCCCGCTACGCCGTTGCAGGCTACATGACCGTCTACAGTTACTATGCCTACCCTGACAAAACACGGCCACGCATCAGGTACCTTATGCAACCATCGCAACATGCTGCCTACCCATCAGAATTGCTTACCCCTGACTAGTTTCGGCAGCTGGCTGTAACACCTTGCTACCTTCCTCGGGATTTGTTTCAACCCTGGAGGAAGGCATTTTCATCCTCTGTAGTGCCCATAAGCACACTTTGTCGTCGTGTATCTGGTACCAAATCTACATCTCCTTTTCTTACGTGTATATATTTATTTTTTATCATACATATGCAGAGTTGGGTCATGACACAGGAGATGGGAAAACACAGCACATGCCACTTATGCCTTGTTTGCAGCAAAATTATCTATGAATAGCCCCCCTGCACTGTGTGCATGTACGTGCGTGGTGTTTGTGTTGCGCTTGTGCTTTGAGTAGCCAAATGCTGGTGCTCCCGCCATATCAGGGCGAGAGCCACGGTGCCCGTCTGCTGGAGGCCGTGCATCGATTCTACATCGCCGAGCCCAATGTGCTCGACATCACGGGTACACCGCCCTCACCACATCCCCCCCCCCCCCCGCAGCTGTCTGCATCCACGTCTAGGGAGGCCCGAGTAATGTGTCACCTTTGACCGCTCGGCAAACACGTCTGGGGTGGCTGGGATTTGTTAGCGGACTCCTGAGAGTGACCCCAGATGCAGGGTTGGGCAATTACACTTCTGTTCCGTGGATTTTTTAATCTCATGCCGGGAAGCGGGAGTGGTTTCTTGTCCCAATTCCAGCGTTAAATATTTTGTTCCTTCCCCCTTTTTTGCCTGCCTTGTGCAAATAGTTCAGACGGGCATTAAACTCAATACATTTTATCTTGTGTGAAACACCAGAGGACTCTCTGCCAATTGGTTCCTATTACAATTAATTAAAAGTGTTACATTATCAAGTGATGTAAGCGCAAAATACGAATTATTGACATTCAAGTTACATGTTAAGTAGGCATTCCTAATGCAGTATGAGCACATTTGTTGTGTTTTCAGTAGATATTTGAATTGGCTGCATACAATTGTCCAATATACATATGCAAAACACATAACCAATAATTGCATTTTCACGAAATACTGCTTCAAGCCATTTCATGTAAGACCCATAGTTGTAGCTGAAGATTTTTATTTGTGCATCTCGAACACGCGTGGCGACTGTCCACAGCTGAGGACCCGTCGGAGAACTTCTCGCGCTTGCGGGACTTTGTGGACACTAAGTTGTGCATGGCGCTGCCGGCCTTCTCCCCGGACAAGCTTCTGCTCGGTTTCACTCGTACCATGGCCACCGAGGCCCAGCTGCGCCTCAAAGTCAACAAGGTGTGGTGATAGGTGCTGCTTAGGGGGGGGGCGCCCTTTGTATTCATGCTCGTTCGCTTGGCGCAACCTCCCTGTGCCCACTACTGCAGCTGCAGTGGGGCCTGAGCTGGGTTGATAATCCTTGGGGCGCTAAGCCCTGCTGAGCATCACAAAGAGATGGTTAAGCATGATTGTATGTTCATGCAAATTTTATTAATTGATTAAGAAAATTTGATCAAAGGTGTATAACAACTACAGGCAAAATCTTTGAGAACATTTAGCAATATTAACACAACTTTTAAATGTCATTTTGGATCTCAAATAAAATATTGAAACAATTGATTAAAGGCATCAATAGAAAATCATACACAGTACACATCAACACAGTACACCCATGATCATACATTAATGTACACCAGCGGTGGCCAACCAACATCTCCCGAGCCACATGCGGCTCTTTAATCGACCATAATGCCGCTCTAGCGAAGGGGCATAATGTAGAATGTACTATAATGGTAGCAAAGAATAATGAATGTTTCCGTACTATGCCGAAAACTGTCAATATATATACACTTGGGTCTTTGCAAAACTCATGGGTACTTTTTAGCTCTTGGTCTGTTACAGATTGGCCGCCCCTGATCTAAACAAATACATTTCAAAGCGACATATAAAGTATAGTTCAAAGTACTTGCATTCACGTTGACAAAGTATTTCCCTGAATGAAGGGTTCCACCGGTGGTCTTTTATCTGGCTCACGTTTTGTGTGTGTGTGCCATTCGCTGTTGGCGCGCGCTGTGCAGCGGCAGGCGCGGCGCGTGTATGAGATCCTGAGGCTGAAGGCAACGGATGGGAGCAACCAGAAGCAGTTTGAACTCTACTGCCAGGATGTGAAGCAGAGGCTCAACCTGCCCTTCAAGGTAACAATGACAAACGTGGAAAAACTGATTTTGTGAAGAAACATTCGGATTCGTATACTGGCTGAAATGTTGAGTGGTACCATGTGGCCCCATAAAGCCTATCTCTTTAATAAGTAATATTTAAAAATACTTTTTAAAAAACACGCTTTAATGAAATGTATCGTACGAGTAATGGCAGAACTCCACGACTCCAGGAAGTGGCCCCGAAGCTTGCCATAACGTAAGGGACCGTGGTGATTTACAGCCAACGTGAGTTGAGCGTGGACAATTAGACCCAAGCCGAAACATAACATATAAAAGATATTGTTTAAACATATATTTAAATTTTTTAATGACAATATAGTATTGTCATCAGTATGACATACGTATACCAAGTTTGCAGTCGATACGACATTGGGAAATGGGTTAAAATTGAGTTACAAGATTTGAGGATACAACAACAGACAGAGTTGAGGATACAACAGCGAGTTAAATAAAAAGGCTGTAATCCAGCAGGCATGCCCTGCTTGTTTTAAACGTAAAAATACACGCCACCTGATTCCCAGTAGATGTTAAATATCCGGTTACATTCTTTCAAAAGGGGTAGACCATTGTGTGCTGGCGTTATGATCAAAATTTGCCAACATTTGAAAAATTACCTGAAAAAAAAGTCTCAATTGGTGTAACTGAGCAATGTCACCCACTACTGTGAAACTACCAGAGATTATATCTGAGAAATAGCACCTTATAGTTTTCCTCTGTAAGAATTACATGAATACCAAATATACTTATTTATTATTACTTTGTCCAATGTGGGAATCATTGATGTCACCCATTTAGGATCCCCTCTTGAGATGTTTCCTTTGGTAAAGTTATTCTAATACAGAATATTTTCCATGAAAAAAATTATTTAAAATAGTTGAAATATTTAATATTTCAAAACATTAAATTATGTTTTATCATTACAAAGTATTGGGCCGATGCCATTTTGCTACGTTTTAAAAACATTTCTAAATGTGTAAAAAAAAAAAGATAATATAATAACCATATTTAAAATGTTGATCAGACATGAATAGGGTTTTGGCAATCGAGTGCGCTCTGCTTTAGGCTCTACCCTGTGCGTATGTTTTGCGTTTCGTATGCATCTGTGTCTGTGCGCTGTTGGAGCAGAAAAACAACCGCGAGTTGGAGAAGATGCGCCGCTTTCTGAACTCGGAGGAGCTGACGGCACAGCTGCAGCAGCTGGACCCTGTGCGACAGGAGCAGTGGCTGGAGGAGCAGCTGCAGGAGACGCTTGCGCAGTACCGCCGCGTGCTTGAGCGCATCGCACAAGCCTAGCGTCCTCGCCGGGCCCCACGTTCGGGGGGGGTGCTCGTGCTTTGCTGCACAACACACACAGTCCCGCCGTTGATTGTTAATCCCCCTGCGACGGCGAGGTCATCGGAGCGACTTGGCGTGTTGCGTTGGCGCCGATCGCTCGCCCCGTGCGCGCGGATGGTTTGCGTGCTGCAGTGTTGTGTCGGGCAGAGTAGAGGAGGCGATCCCCTGTTAACGCAAGGTCGAGCGATAAAATAAAGGAAACTCCTGTACTCGCTGCACAGCGTGAGAGGAGTCGGCGCAGCACGTGCCGGGAGTTTGGACAGCGCTGATAATGCGAGGCAGCTGTGATGCCACCAATTGGGAGTTGGTTGTGGTCATACTGAGCACTGAAGGTGGCACTGCAGTGTATAAGCAGTTCTCTGCTGTCATAAAAAAAGTGTATTTTGTATCATAGGGTCACACTTGTAAGCAAACTAACAGTCTTTGTGAATCTACACGTTGGATTTGAAGCAAATTACAAAGCATTTAGTTCACTGTTGTAAACGGTGCCTACTTTGTGCTTCACCAGTGCTGTCCACCGAATGTGTTCGGCAACTACCACCCCCTTTTCACACTTGTACAACCAGGGGACAGCCCATCTAACACATGGCCGTTTGAATTATGGGGTTACCTGGATTATAAATGCACCCTCAAACGGGCAATAATGACTGATTTTTGGATTGTAATGTAGCTTGACTGTTTAAATTCCTCCATGTACATATCTACCCTTCAGAGCTCTGCAGGCGCTCAGGTCGCACTGGTATTGTGCGGTAGTGGAAGTAATCGCTGCGGTGGCTTGTGTCATCCTCCTGGATGGCGCGCGCGTGCATCGTATAAGTGATAATTGATACGAGCAAAACTGGAACAACAGCACTTGAGCGCCTTGTAAAATGTCTATGCTTTTGCAAGAGTCGTAACGGCACAGCTGATCTAACTTCTGGGCTGTATTTCCTAGACACAGCAGTGACTCGGCTAACATCTGTTTCCTTTTTTCTAACAAGCATCGGAACATCTGCTAAATAACACCACGTCTTGCCGACTGTTACACTGTTTTAGACTTCTTTAATTGTTCTCGTTACGAATGTTCCTGCGCCACCATTTAAGTTATGTGCATTCCTGCACAAGATTTAAACTGAAGTGTTTATAAAGTTGAATGTTGTCTTCCATACTTGAGTTGGATTCTTTCTGTTTTCAAAGTAGGTGCTTTCAAATAAGTGGGCTCGTGGGCAGGACACGGTCGACGGAAGGGATGATGGGTGGTGGCTTAAACTAGCGGCGGAGTGCCAGCCAAGGAAGGGAATGCACGTGATAGGATGCCCACTGCAGAATTGGGAGTGATGAAATTGGATCGTGCAAGAATGAGATGGATTGTGGCATCACAAGGGAGAGTGGGAAGGCCTCCCAACATCATAGCTGATGATTGTTTAATATCTTGCTGTAGCTTGAATGCAAAAAAACACTAATTTGTTCATAATACTGCCTTCAAAGATACAAAAATATATACTCGGCATGTTGGGCAAAGGCCCTTTATTTGAAATAAATAGATCTGAGAGATGACGTTAAGAGATGGAGACTGCACTTAACAACATGAGGCCTGATGAGTTACATTTAAAAAAAATTCTGATCACTTTTTTAAATAGGCATGAATCGTTTCCCAGTGATAACTATTGAGTAATATACAACCCCTTAAAAAAAATCTAAAACTATTCCTAAAGCTCATTAAAAGTAATTCAAAATGTTGCTGGCACAGTTTAGCTTTTAATAATTTTAACTTTTAATGTAAATACGTTTTTTAGTAGTACTTTTTGGATTATTTAAGGTTGATTAATAGCTATTATTCATGCCTACTTTAAAGAGTGACCAGGAAACATTTTAAGGAAAAATTCTCATCGTCCCCGATGGTACACAGTGTTATGGAGGGCCTTTGCCTATTATGTACTTTTATTTTAAGGCTCCATTTTTATTGTGGAATGTTGAGGATTTTTTTGTTAATTGTGCTAAAGCACGGCTGCCAACAGCATTGCCATTTTTTTATTTACAAAATGCAAGTTGTCTTAAACGTAAATTGACGCCTCCTTCGCATGGACAAACTCAACCACTGCAAATGTTGAGGCTCTGATTGGTAAGCATAGACCTCGGTATACATTTGGAAAACATTTTTGGGTTTCTAAGGTTATATGGAGCGCTGAAGAGAATTGCAGCTGGGACACCTTCCTGTATACATGTACGGGACCTATTTGCTATTTTTCTTGTATATAAAGAACACGTAAAAAACTTAATGGGGTTCAAAAGCACTGTAGTATGTGTGTATATATATATACACATGTGTGTGAATTCAGAATTGACATTTTTGTGAGCATAGTGAAAGCTGGTTCAAGAAATATCAGTTTTCTACCAAATTATATTTAAAACATGTGCAGGACTGTTTCTAGAAGATAACGTAAATGACCAGTACTGCATTGGTTTAGGACGCTTCCACCATGAGTGAGCAATACTTTACTGTTGAAAGCTATAAAAAACAATTATTGAGCCCATAACCATCATGCGTCGGGGCATGGCTCTTGAACGGTGTGAGCACCTGTGCGGTGCTGGCCACTTGTGGTGATGGGCCAAATGGAGCGTGCCAAGTGAGCGGGCGCTCCCACCGGAGGCCACCGTAATCCCCTGGAACCTTACCCCCCTCTCATCACGTACAGCACAATTTGATTTGCAGCATCTGCCGTCGCTTTTAGACACTCGGGCAAACTAGACTTTACGTTAAGAAATTCGTAGGAGAGGATTGCGTGCTGATGCAGATGGAATAATTTCCCCCAGAGTGAGAGTATAATGTTAGACGTTTTAACATGAACAATAGGACTATTCTCACGTGCATATGGCATAGTGGTACAGGATAACGAGCTGCTATAGTTGCCATGATTTTATGACTGACCTTTTGTACATTTAACAGTGACTATTTTTGTTATTTACCGTTACAATAGTCTGCCTCTACTGGTGAGTACATGCGCTGCCGCTTGAATTGTCAATAAATTAAACATTTAGATTATTTTTTATCTACCGATGGCCCTGCATTAACAGTGGTTAATGCATTGGGGCATTATAGTTGCATGCACAACTGCACGCAGTTGTTAGCAATATCCAAAGTAATGTCCTTTAATGAATATGGACAAGTACATATACGTGCCTCGTTCCTGTTCTCCACCACTTTATTCCACAACAGACTAGCATAAATTTTGAAAGGAGATGAGCCACTGCACAGAACATCACTCGCCATCTGTTCCTCCAGAAACGATGCTGTTTCTCGTGTTGCAGCCTCTGCCAGGAAACAAAGGCACCTGTTGGAGCTGGACCTAAAGTTACCTCCTGGGCTTTGTAACCCCCTCCCGAGGTTTATCTCGCCATCTGCCTCTGTGGCCCCTGCAGGTGGCACAGGGGCCAGTGTTTACGGCGAAGATGTGTCGACCGGAAAATGCAGAAAGCACTCGTTTACGTGGAACGGCCGATCAGTGCCGGATGGGATCATCGTCCTAATCGCAATGGCAGTGGTTTGGTTGTGCATTATGCTTTACAACGCAAAACAGCAAAGCATTTTGGATGTATATACTCCAGTGTCTAAATGCAACTGCGTTTCACAATGCTGTACATAAGTGGGACATAGGCATTTTGGGTAAAGGAGGTATATTTACTTTTAGAAGAGAATCATCGGCAGAAAGTATTGGATTTTAACAGGGGTATAGAGTCAACAGCACAGATGGCTGGGAAAAGTGGGTTCCATATGGGGACGTCAGGAAAAAGTTGATTTCTCAATGAGCGATGGTTGACTGGGAGCTTTAACAAGTCTTCATTTACTGTAACAGTGCGTATGTGGGTTATATAAGAGGGGGGAAGTTTTTCCAGGTGAGTGCATGGTGGTTATTGAAGATGATAGGGGTGGTTTTGAATTTGATCCGGAATTGCATTGGGAGAGACTGAAGTATTGGGGTGATGTAACATTTTGGAATGGCAGATGTCTCGCTGTGGATTTTGGAGGTGATGGATTTTGAGAGGCTGTAGAGAGTTTCGTAAATTCGTGATGTGAAGTTATTGATGAGTGGCAGCAAACATAAAATAATGTCAGCAATTGGAGGCATATGGTACTGCAGAGTGGAGATGGAAGATAATAAAAGCCCCTGGATCAATGACAACTCAAGGGTTTACACAGTGAAATGTCTAGGTTTAAGGGTGCATGTTCAAACTGGAAATTTTACAGTGTCAACTTTTCCAATTACGAGAACTGCAGTTCTGGCAGCATTTAGCTGGTGGAAGTTAGAACTAATCCAAGATTAAATCACACCACGGAAGGATGTGGCAGTAAACAATGAATATGGGTTCATGATGCCAATAGTGATGTCGAGCAAGTATTAATAGCATCGAAGCGATGGTTAGCAATGCATCTATGCAGCTGCAATATATATCCACGCAGGAGGAAATGCAATAAGGGCAGGAGGCGAGGGATGGTATATTTGACACCATAGTAAGTTTCTGAGAGGAAGACGATCTTGTATAGAATGGCCTTGGTGGGAACCAAATTTCACTGGGTACAGAGATCAAGAAAGGATAGATGAGAGAATAATTATTGTGATATGAAAGCTTCCCACAATTAAAACAATGTCTAAATTGAGGTGGCCATTTGGCTCGAGGGTCAGCACTAAGCCAGCACCACCGAGATCCTGGGTTCATATCCTCACGCCACTGACCACTGCAAATCGCCGCGTCCTGCAGAGCAAGTATAATACTCTTGTTTATAGTGCCCAGAATCAGTATCGTCCAGGCTAAGCGACATTTCTCTGTAGCTGCACCAGCCATCTGGAACTCTCCCAGCGCACATTCGCTGCACCCAAGCGTCACCCACTTTTAAGCAGCAGCTAAAGGCTCTCACCTGTTCACGCTCTCACCTGGGCAGGCTGGCATACGAGGGACTTTGAGCTTTGGCTGCGTGCCTTCAGGATCTCGATCGAACACTGCATCGAATGCATGAATTATGCAGGCGTTATAAAAATGTGTTTATTGTTACACAGGCAGCCTTTGATGAAATCAGGCGTCAAATCCATTGAGTTGATAGGCTCATTCAATTCACCTCTGCACGCAAAAACGGATTTGGTTATTCACTTAATTTGGTTTTGTTTCAGCTCTGGGAATTAAATGTTTGCTTTGGCAGGCCGCAAACAATATGCGCAACGCGTAGAAAAATGCGTCCCCCAAGTTGTGGATAAAGATACCAATCTATGATAATTTCATGTGTTTTTTAATTATATCTTCCAGGGCCATTTTTAACACAACGTGTTGCTCTGCTAGCTACAAGAATTCCACGTGGAAATGGCTTCCCCTTATCCTATAACATTAACTAATAGCACAGATGAAATATAATTGGGAGAAAAAAATCCAACCTTTTAAAATTCTTAATAAAAAAAGTATACCTTTGTGTTTTCATGACCCAGACATTACAGTAGCCGTGTATATATGCCATACCATACTCCTTAAATTTACCTGGATTTATGTATTGTCTCGTTTGATTTTCATTATCATTATTAATAGAAGCCTTAGACTTGTTCAATACATCACTTACCACTCTCCCTCCAATGTCTGCTTGCAAGTGGCTTGAGACACCGTGGAGTCCATGCAGCCGATACATTAAACGGTGACCCGACTTTAAAGGAACAAAGTTGAGCACAGAAAGAAAACCTTTCCTGTAATTTTCATTCCGTTCCCATATAATTATCTGTTTACAGAGCGATGCTATTTTCTGTACACGGGCCGCGGGACCTTGTGTGCGTGGGTTTACACTGGCGAGAAGACTTGGGAGACGGGGGTCATCAGTCTAGCCCCAGTGAATCCGCCTCGCTCTTCATGCCCTCCTAATTACCCGTTGGCTAATTGCCGTGACCCCTGGAAGCCAAAGGAATCCTAACCGCTCTTGCAGGTGTACCAACACGGCTCTTGCAAACTTCACCGGACCGCACACATTTTATAGGATTTGGGCAACGTGTAGTGTCAGTTGCGAGTGCTTTTTGAAGAGCTGAACTTGACAGTGAAAAGCAACATGCCGATGTGCCTAAAGAAGAACTTTAAAACAAAATCAGATAATATATATCACCTGTTATGAAATATGGATCAGAAACATGGACAGAGGAAACAATTGGCACAAACATTATGAAGAACTCGCAAAGGAAGAATGGATGCTAGGAATCACATTGAAAGACACAAAGAGGGACATGAAAAATAGAATATACCGAAGCGACATCAGAGTTGAGTGTGAAGAAAGAATCAGAATCAGAAAGGGTTTTATTCGCCATGAAAGTTCACACCGACACGGAATTTACTTTGGCAGGATGGTGCATACATTCAACATATAGGAATCTAAAATCTTAAATAAGTCTTAAACAATTTTGATTTAAAGCTTTCGTGACTGCAGTAATTCATATTCTTAGTTTTTTCGGTAAAGTCACGTTGAAGAGAAACAACAAAATAACAAAACATATATAAAACAATAAAAAATTCTCACGACGTTTCGACCATAACTCAAACGGTCATCATCAGGTGTGTCGGTTTGCATAAATTTATTTTTAAAACGGCACATTTATTTATTTATAAAAAACGTTGGCGTCACGCGCAGCGATTGGCAGTTTGCCCAGGACTAGTCCATCTATATTTTGAAAAGAGGAGGGGGGAGACGAAATTTTTTATAATGTATGCTGTCTGAAAGCCACTGTAAGCGTGAACAATCAATCAAGAACTGAAATGATTTATCAAATCTTTCCAATGATTGCTAAGATAGAATCCATCTTCTCGGTTGAAATTGTCTCTGTGCTTGTATTTGTGGATAGCCTCATGAACGAATCTCTCATGGAAGCCAGATGGCTTCTTCGACCACATCAATTCCATACACCCAGCCATCAGATTTACCATGGAAGTCGAAATAGATGGCAAGATACCTTTTTTGGATGTCCTAATTAAAAAGAGACCTGATGGTTCAATGAGCCACTCTGTCTACAGGAAAGCTACCCATACGGATGCTTATCTGAAACCGGATTCCCACCACCATCCATCACAGAAGAATTCTCTCATCAAGACTCTGTATCATAGAGCCCAATGCATATCCGACCAGGAACACATAAGCAGTGAACTCAAGCACGTACACCAAGCTCTTAGGGCTAATGGTTACTCCGACTATACAATCCGCAAAGCTATCACTCAAACCATGAAGAAGAACCCTCTTGAGGAGCCTTTCAAAACCATCACTTTA